CCCCCCATATTAGAAGCCCCCCCGTATTAGAAGCTCCCTCCGGAGCCATCGATGTGGAAGGTGTATTAGAAGCCCAGGGGCTTCTGTTACGTCGGAAAAATAATTTAAATTTTTTAAACGACACATCTGATCGACACGCGTTTTTTTACTTTAATTGTTCTTGTGTGATGTCGTGTGTAAAAAAAGGAAACGAATAAGATTTACATTTTTTATCTCGAAAAAGACTTTTTTACTTTTTTCAGATTGCTATCGCATTTATTAAGATGCACCAATCATAGAGATATAACATGAGCTTATGAACCATATTACCAGTAGATGTTATTTATCTGCACATTCTACTCAATACGTTTCATATGATTTTAGGAATAAAATTAGATCTTTTGTTACAAACTTTTCGACAAGAATATGCATCTCTCGAAAAAACTAAAGAATTATGAAAAGCGCCTGTGTCTTTAATCCCGAGCAAAGTCCGTCAAGATCTTGGTATAAAAACCCGGCAGGATTTATCCGATGCTGAACTCTAAGTGTCGGGGTGGAAAAAGGTCATGTGTGGTGTAAGTTTTTTGGATGTACAGTAGAAGCTTTTGGGAGAATGTACTTCTTCTTTGCTGTTATAATCTTCTGAATAGACTCTGTTCCCAAAAAAATCGAGAGAAAGCCTTTTGATTGAGAGAATGGAGCAAAAGCAAAAAGCGTGCACTACATCTATCTCCACGGGACTGCAAATTCCCACCTTCTCTCTTTTCCTGTTATTTACATTTACGAAATGATTACTGCTCTTTATCATGTTCTTGAAAAAGCACATATGAGCCACTAACACTCCAGTTCGAAGTGACGCTCTAAGAGGCTTGCTCCTGTAGGAGAGCACCAGACTTGGAAATCTCTCAATAAAGAACAGAACAGTGATTATGAAAATTTTATAGAGTGGTCTGGCCGAGCCTGGCTTGGACCGCAAAGTATTTTGGTCGGGTTGGGCCGAACTTGAAATTTTTAGGCATGCGTGGATTTATAATTTATGTGTATAGTCGGTACCAAGAAATCATAAAAATATAAATATCAGCTTGAGAAATACATTTACACCGCTTAGCCAGCAGAAGCATTACAGATACAAGACGAAAAAACGCAAAGTGGTCGGGCCGGGCCAGAAAAGTTTCAGGATTGGTCGGGCCGGGCCAAATAAATTCTGCGTATAGCCGGGCTTGGTCCGGAAACTTTCATCATCGGGACGGACCGGACCAAAAATTTTTGACCCGTCGGATCTCTAATATGTATCCTACAGCAGCATAGAAGATATGATGAGTAATCTCTTCTACTGAAGCGAAAACGGAATGACTATTGACAAACCTGTTTAAATTGACAAATTTTTTCAACAGTACATCGAACTCAAAATCAGTTGAAACTCCCTTTCAAGCTCACTCCTACTGCGCACCTCATTCCCATTATCACGCTGGATTAATACTAAAATTCCACTTTCCACGTATATTGTAGCGTCTCTACATTCTATTGGCCAGAATTGATGTCCAACTACATTTGCTGTCATTTTCTACTGCCTTGAAAGCACATCAATAAACACAAAATAAAACAGTATAGTATATGATTTAAATAAATACTATAACATTTAACCATACTCTATGAAAGAAAAAAGATAAATAACTTGACATTTTAAATAAAGCAAGCAGACTCGTTTTTGTCTAAAAATGTGCAAGAGGCTAACGTTGTTTTCAGGTATACGATACAAACGAGGTTCTTTCTGTAGCGATTTCACTTTCCGAAGAAGATTTCTGTCGACCTGTGCCTACTTGTCGTTTTCTGGTTTAACTTTGTCTTGAAACCTTAGAGCTCTGCTAGAAATTTTATCTTGATTATGACAGTAGATTTCAAACAAAATGCCTACTACAAATAACAAGCCTGTTTTTTCTCTTAGAATGGTTTTGTGTAAATCTATACATGTTGGTACGTGTTTCTACTTCGTTGCCTCAGTATTTTTTGTAAGCGGAGATCGTGATTATGAAAAATCACCAACATCTTGTAGGTAAGAGTTTTTTTTAATTCAACATTTTATTTGTAAAATCAAACGATACAAGAAACGAGCATTAAAAATTTTTCCTAGAACAAACTGCATGAACGATGACGAAGATTGTTGGAAGCAATCGATTACTTATTATTCATCTGAGCTGGTCAAAAATGTATACTCGTTTGGAAATTTAGCTGTGTACATTGGTCACTTTCAACGACAGCATCCAGACGAAGTAAGCACAGTATTTGTTTCACTTCGCTGGTACTATCCTGATTTTTTTATTTCTTAACTATTTTTTAGGGTTTAAACAGCACAGCATTTATCAGCGAAGCATTGGAATCAAGACTGAACAATGATTCAATTGATGCAAATTTTTCATATTCGACATTTAGCGAAGCAGTTCATTCGTTAATTGGCTATGTAAGCGAGTAGTGTTTTACTTCGCACAAATATTTCTCAGTTTAGAACGTTAGATAAAAATTATAATTTTTCATGAAAAAAGATGTTTGACTGTGAGTAATCTACAATGTTTGTTTTTGGAATGAAGAAGCCTAATGTGGTACGTGTGCGTAGGGGTGGGACAATTCCAGTTTCTAAACTTTCTGAGAACTGATGAAAAGAACTGGTCACTAGTTCAGTTCTTGTTGAACGGGAACCGCTACCAGTTCTTTTCAAGAATTCAAAATCAAATAAAACCAACGAAACTAGTTACATTAACTTTGTTTAGTCCACTAAACGCACCAATTACCTTTAGCTCTCTAAACAAGGTCAATGTAACTAGTTTCGTTGGTTTTATTTGATTTTGAATTCTTGAAAAGAACTGGTAAGCAGTTCCCGTTCAAAAGAACTAAACTGGAACTGTCTCATACCTACGTGGGCGCGCACGTCTGAGATGATACTTGATGTTTTATCCTCTGTTAAATAAGTTTTTCTTTTAAAAGTATTTATTTTAGTGTCAAAATTTGACCTCGACTGCAATTCAAAGTATTGCAGAACTTCCATCATTGCCCTGTGCTATACCTTGTTCATATGATGTCCAAATGTGGATGGTATTATTTATTGTGTCTATTTTACTTGCGGCAACATCTGTTACTGTCGTGCTCGTTGAACTGTATCGCTCGCATCATCAACGGCAAGCACACTTAAGAGCAACTACATCTTCACCATTATTATTGTCAAATAATGTTAGAAGTTAGATATTACTAGTTATTATATATCGTGAACATTTATTAGTTTATTGTAAGAAGAGGATAACGGTGAGCTTGTTGTTGTCTACATGATATGCCTGTTATCATAAAACTGTTTCTTAAGGATACCTCTCCCTCCTTTTGGGCTTTCCGTAGGAATGCTATAAAATAAAAACTAAGAATGACTAAGGCTTCATATTTTTACCGCTCGAGAGTTTTTCAGAAAACTCGCTTTTTCATTGTGTCATATTACGATCCCCTTTATATATGATCCAATGGAGCCAAAATTATACCAGAGGTTACCCAAAGTAATATCGCAGAGATATCTTTTGAGAACTTTATTAGAGACCTTTCCTTGTCGAGTTATAGGGTTTCAAAAATTGAAAAACTTGGTTGCTGAGACGTTTTTCGGTACTTTTTCTGTAACTCGACAAGGAAAGGTCTTTAATAAAAGTTCTCAAAAGATATCTCTGCGATATTACTTTGAGTACCTCTGGTACAATTTTTGGCTCCATTAGATCACATATAAAGGGGATCGTAATGTGACACAATGAAAAACCGAGTTTTCTGAAAAACTCTCGGGCGGTAAAAACTGAAAATTTGAAACAAAAACGAAAACATGTTCCATTGAATTCCCACTCAGTTCTGAAAATATAAACCTTAGTCATTCTTAGTTTTTATTTTATAGTATTCCTGCGGCCCAAAAAGAGGGAAGGGGCACCCTTAAACTACAAAAGTTAGTAAAATCAGTTCTGGGATTGGTGTTTTACAAAAAGGTCTTTTTTATTGTGATGTTGAAGAATAAGCACATAAAACGTATTTTCCTTGATTTATCGTGGAAATGCATCTGTTTCCTCTCGTTTTTTTGTATCTGCATTCGAATTTATTTTATTATTAAAATAATTTGACTTATATTCTTCTACTGCTTTCTATATCCAATTTTCATAGCAAAAACGTTTTTGAAGTTAAAGCAAAAAATTCAGCGCTCTCTTCTCTTACTATTTATTATAGATTATGTTTTTCAAATTTATTTTTCTATCAAGTTTTTTGTTAAGTTTTCCTAAGACTACAGTAAGTCGTTTAAATACGACATCATGTGAGTAAGTATTTCTTAGATGTGTCTAAGTTGATTTTGAATTATTTTTATTTCTAGTCGAAAGTTTAACACAAAATTCGGAACCCAACGAGAATGGAAACAAACAACCGATTATTTTTCACATCGTCTATCAAAAGCAATGATTGAATATTGTCAAATAATTATGTATAAAAATGGAACTGTATGTTTGCCCGTCAAAGTTCAAATAATTGTTTGATTATCAATAATTTTTATTTGTACTTTTTTAGCATTGGTATAATATAACAAAAGAATTATTACTAAAAGAGTTGACTGAATACAAAACAGAAAGTGGCGTGCAACAATTGAAGAAAGAAAATGTGGAAGATGTTGTTTTAAGATTATTAAACAGTGTATGTATTGAAGTTCAATGTGTGAGATTGCTCTGAATAATTATTCAAAAAAAAACACTACATAGAGACGAATTATATTGATTGAAGCTATTTTTGCACTTTCACTTCTTTTAACGACTATTAAAACACATTTGTTAATATTTTTGTCATTATTAAGATGCACTTTCATATAATTTGACTTTTTTAATGATTTTTAGTGTATGATAACGAATCAGTCCATATCCTCATCATTACCTACATGTCCAGATGATTGTTCCAGTGTCAAAAATTCCATCCGAAAGTGGCGTACACTGTTTATTATTTTCATTACAATTAGTTGTTTGAACGTTGTTATTCTATGTTTAAATTATAAAGTAACATCTATAAAAACTCAACACTTTTATAATATAGCTAAAAATGTGAGAATATCTTAAATTATATCATTACTAATATTATTAATAGTTAGTTTTCCAAAGTTTGTTTTTTTACTAATTTGGATTATTCTAATAGAATGGTATAAAGCAGACTTATCATCAATTGGTTAAATAGTTATGATTTGATATCAAATTTATTCAAACGAGAAAAAACAGATTAGTTGTAATAGCAACATGTTTTAAGATTCTAGCGTTTTATCAAAAAAAATCCTCTAGGTGTGATTGAAAATATTTATTTATCTTAGTAGACATGTGACTGGCTACAAGTAGCTTCATTCATTCTTAATCAAAAAAAAAAAGAAAATACGAAAATAATTAGATTCTATAACTAACTTATGCTTGTTTATTTTAAAATTATTTTCGTCATAGCTGATTGATTTCATACGCTATACATGATATGTATGTACATGAATACTTTTTCTATTCCTTCTTTCAACTCACACATACGGTCTTGTTCAATTATTATCATCGTATAACTAATATTTCTGAACATTCCAGAAAGTAATATTTGCAATATTTTAGTTAAAAATTATTGAATGAGATGTATTCCATTCCGTATATAACTTAAAATTTTTGTGCAATCTTTATCTGTGTTTTGCGAATATTTTTTTAAAATAAAGTTTTTTTTGCTTTCAAAACAATAATGTCAAAAACACAATCGAATAGTGAAAAAAAGACTATCACTATTGGCATTGACTTGGGAACAACATATTCGTGTGTGGGTATTTTTCAACATGGAAAAGTTGAAATAATAGCAAATGATCAAGGTAATCGAACAACACCGTCCTGTGTCGCATTTACAGAAACCGAACGTTTAATTGGTGAAGCTGCAAAAAATCAAATGGCCACCAATCCAAGAAATACAATATTTGATGCAAAAAGATTAATAGGAAGAAAGTACGATGAACAATCTGTTCAACAAGATATAAAAAATTGGCCATTCAAAGTATTTCTTTTTTAATTTGATTTCAGGATATTATATTTAAAAATACGTCTTTCTATTAGGTTATAAATGATCATGGTAAACCAAAAATTCGAGTTAATTATAAAAATACAACAAAAATATTAGCTCCAGAAGAAGTTTCAGCAATAGTTTTGATTAAGATGAAAGAAATTGCCGAAGCTTATACCGGAAGAAAGGTATGTTGTCTATATTCAATGTTATCATAGGAAAAATATTTAAAATATAAGAATAATTACTTGATAGAATTTGTTGTTGTTAGGTAAATGATTGTGTAATTACTGTTCCTGCATATTTTACGGATTCTCAACGGCAAGCGACAAAAGATGCAGGCGCAATTGCTGGAATGAATGTTTTGAGAATTATCAATGAGCCAACAGGTTTATATTTCTTTTTCTTGTTTTGATCATCTACTAAGAACGTGCAAGGAGAAGTGTGTGATAAAACGATGCGAATGTGTAAATCATCTATGTGACCTGGACTTTGTTAACGGATAATCGCTCATTTGTCTGCTAATATTATTCTTGTTTTTATAGCTGCTGCACTCGCCTACGGTCTAGATAAGAATTTAACAGGCGAAAAAAATATTCTTATATTCGATCTTGGCGGAGGTAAAAATTGTTTAAAAATTAACGTTTTTCCAAGTCTGTTGTTGTTTCTCTATCTTTTTAGGTACATTTGATGTGTCAATATTATCCATTGACGAAGGTCAATTATTTCAAGTTAAAGCAAGTAAATAGTATCTACCGTGGATGTTTTTCTATTAAGTAATTTTGAAACAATCCTATTTTAATATTTGTAGCAGCGGGCAATACTCACTTGGGTGGCGAAGATTTTGATAATCGATTATTATCTTATTATTGCAATGAGTTTGGGATGAAGAATAATAAAGATTTAACGAAAAATGTACGATCATTAAGACGATTAAAAAATAATCTTGAACGTGTGAAACGTATATTATCGACGGCCACAGAAGCAAACATTGAAATTGATTCACTAATGGATGGTATCGATTTTTATTCAAAATTATCGCGAGCCAAATTTGAAGAATTGTGTTTAGACCTATTTCGTTCAACATTAAAACCGGTTGAAAAAGCATTACGTAGTGCTAAAATGGAAAAATCTCATATTCATGAAGTTATCCTGGTTGGCGGTTCTACAAGAATCCCAAAAATTCAAAAATTATTACAGGATTTCTTGTAGGTTGATGTTTTCAAAGTATTTTTTTTAGTTTTTGTTAACACATACTTTTCACTTAGTAATGGAAAAGAATTAAACAAATCAGTTAATCCCGATGAAGCCGTTGCCTATGGAGCAGCAATACAAGTAAGAGCTTTATTAATCTGTTCAAAGAATGGAGTAACATTTTTCCTTCGTAGGCTGCAATATTGTCTGGTGATCAAAATGAAATAATCAAAGACGTCTTACTTGTCGACGTTATACCGCTGTCGTTGGTAGATGATTTTCACGATATAATAAGTAGTTTAAAGTGACTGATAAAGTGCTCTTTGTTTTTAGGGTATTGAAACAGTTGGTGGTGTAATGAATAAAATAATTGATCGTAATTCACGTATACCATGTACTGTCTCAAAAGAGTTTACAACGTTTGAAGACAATCAACCAGGCGTGACGATTCAAGTAAGCCAGTGAAGGGAAGGATTTGCTGATAAAATATGTTATGTTGATCTTTTTAGGTATTTGAAGGCGAAAGAACAATGACTGTTAATAATAATTTATTAGGAAAATTTGAATTAGTGGGAATTCCTCCAGTGGCACGTGGTGTTCCGCGAATTGTTGTAAAATTTGATATTGATGGTGAGTTGAAGTTATCATGGTTGTTGTTTTTCATCTTATTGAATATTTAATCCAGATTATCGTTTTTGTAGCTAATGGTATCCTGAGTTGTACAGCTAAGGATGACTCGACTGGAAAAAGTACAAACATCATTATTCGTAATGAAAAAGGACGATTGTCTAAATCAGAAATTGAACGAATGATAAATGATGCTGAAAAATTTAGAAAAGAAGATGAACTGGCAAAGCAATGTGTTCATTCACGAAATACATTAGAAAGTTATTTATATGATTTAAGCGCGACTGTTAGTGACTATGGTAAAAAAATGAATGAAAAAGATAAACAAACAATTGAGCAAATATTAAAAGATAAATTACGATGGATTAAAAGCAATCAAAATGCGAGTAATGAAATGTATGACAGCGTTTATAACGAAGCTGAATTAGTTGCGGGTCCAATAATGCAAAAATTGCAGCAGAATTCAAGTAGTGGTGGTAATGGCGTTAGTAGACCAAAAATTGAAGAAATTAGCTAAACTAACACCAAAAGTATAAAATCTGCTGCAGTAATCGCAGATTCTTTTCATAGTTAAAACTTGTTGACGTTTAGCTTCCAATAAATATTAGAGACAAAACAGTCGAGTGATATTCCATTTATTCCATCAGAAAGAATAATGTATCGTATTGATTAGTTCTATTTTTTTGTATTAAATTATATTAGTTATACGAATTTTTGTGATAAAAGTTGACCATTTGTTTGATCTAGCTGATTTTCAGATACTAATAAGATTCAGTCTAGAAGGATTTGAAAGAAGCAACGATTATCATAAATGGTCATACCATAAGGTCCTCTAATATCTTGTACTAGCTTTTTGCTATTTGTGTATGCTCATGATCTTAGATCGAAATAAAATCACATTTAGATTCACATTCGTAAACAGCGGCAATAATTATTCCCGAAAAACTGTGTTTTAATGCAAAATCAATGTAACATTTAGGGCGGTTTCCTCGCGAAAAATAGTTTTTAAATAAGCGCGCTTGAGTGGCATCTATTTATAAGAAGTGAATTGAGTGTAGTGCACCTAGGACATGCACAATCTAAGTATATAATGCTTGGATCAAAACAAGTCTTTTTACATGGATTATAGATATCCAGTACGTCTTGTTCGAATATCAAAATAGCACGACAGCTAAAGGAATTAGTGGATTACTGATGAGAAAAGGCTCTCAAGTGTCTAATCACTTTTTGTTAGAGCAGTTTTTATGGTTAATTTATAGTGGAGATTATGAGCCAAATATTCATTTCTGTTGCAAGACTCTTCTTAGAGAGATTTGAAAAAGTCGGATCTTCTTCAGAAATTTTGAAAGAGTAGATTTCAATAAAGTGTCACTTTGAAGAGATCATGGAGTGACATAGTTGCATAATTTATTGAAACTAACGGTATGATATTATATTGTAACAGTTTGTATACTGAATATTCTAAAACTTCGCAGAAAGACTCTCCACGCGTGGACCTCGTAACAGAAACGAATATTTGCTCATATAATCTTCATCATAAATTATCGATAAAAAATCTATGTTCTTGCAAACAGTGGTTCGACACTTGAAGATCTTCCTATGTACAGTGACAGAACATACCATACTTTGCACACTTCCCATTAATATTCAATGCTAATTTTGATCCATTTAATTGCAGATTTAATCAAAGAATGTTCTCTGATGGTAGCACTTCTATTAAAACTGAATTTTCATCAAAAGCAGCATTACAATTCTACGAAACTCTTCGAGGTAATGTAGATCCATCTACTTTATTAACAATTAATTATTTTATATTAAATTTGATTAGTTTTAGTCGTGCTTACCTGATAATATAGGATGTGTATATAATACGACTTATCATAAACCAAATATATACAATCATCTTTGTATCTAATAGCTCCCGTGTTTAGCTTGTATCTATTTACTCATTAAATTGTGTTTTTTTATTCTCTCCAGTTGTTGTTGCTTTTATGCATACGCATATTTANCAATTAATTATTTTATATTATAATTTTCGACGGATTGTTGTGCATGATTGATCATTAAATGTCTGGTATACCAGCTGATGATACATAAGAAGTTATCTTGTATTTGAATTAACAGGCGATTATTCTCTGAGTAAAATTTTATTTTTCTTTTGTAAATGAAAAAATAAAGAGGGAATATTCTCACGCATCACACGAAGAATAGAACAAAGTTGAAAAACCACCAGAGATTTGGCTGTGATACATAAATTAAATTGTAGTTGAACATCAAAAAGAACTAACAAAAGAAAATAAATATGCGTATGCATAAAAGCAACAACAACTGGAGAGAATAAAAAAACACAATTTAATGAGTAAATAGATACAAGCTAAACACGGGAGCTATTAGATACAAAGATGATTGTATATATTTGGTTTATGATAAGTCGTATTATATACACATCCTATATTATCAGGTAAGCACGACTAAAACTAATCAAATTTAATATTTGGTACAACGGCATCTTCTTTCATTGTCAGATCATTTTCTAGCTCATTTGTTGCTGTTGTTGTCCTAGTTAAATCATAGTAACCTCCACCATTTATTTCATCAACATTAACGCTATTACTATTATTATTATTTATATCACCAAACCATACATGTCCTAGTATATCATTTGATACTAAACGTTCATCTGGTTTAACACGAATTAACGATCTTAGTAGTGAACGTGCTTTCATTGTTATTGTACGTGGTATGTCTGGTCGACAACGTCCAATTTTAATAAATAAACCTACTAATGTTTTATCACAAAATGGATAGCGGCCAAATAACATTGTATATAAGATGATACCTATAAATAAATTTTACCATTGTCATTCCAAATTATATTTAGCATTTATAATGTTCTCTCAATTTTTTTAAAAAGTAATTTTAATTTATTGCAATGATTTCGAGTCGTCATGTTTGTCTACTCACCTAAACTCCATGAATCTGCCATTTTTCCCGAATACATTTGGCGGTTTAACACAATTTCTGGACAAGCATAAACCGGACATGAAAAACGTGATGAAACTAGATCGTTCGTTCTGTCTTGTAATATAATAGCATCATCAAGACCCGTTAATAATAATTGTGTATGTTGTTGATTTGTAAATATAATTTTTCGTAATTTTAAATCTCTTACAATGAGACCAACTTCATGACATAATTTAACACTATTAATTATTTGTGTAAATAATCGTCGACATTCATTTTCATTGAGACGATGTTTTTCTGTTATATACATATGTAAATTTGATGAATATTTTGGATATAGAACAATGGCTGTTGATTCTAATGTGATGATTTCACGATAAAAATGTATATGATATTTCAATGATAATTGATTAATTGTTTTATAATCAAATGTTATATTATGTTGACTTGATGATAAATTATTTGTATGTAATGATGTTGAATGTGTAAATGCTGTTTCACCTGTTTGTACAAATGTTTCTGTTTGTAGTGATTGTGATTGATAATGATAACTGTTTGTTGAATGTTTTCTTAGTATTATATTTGCTAAACGGTAATAAGGTTCGAGACGTTGTCTCAACGTATCCAATGCAAATTCTTTATACAAATACTCTTCACCGGTTTCCCGATGGCGTGCACATCGAAAATCATCAAACTTAACTTCAGTTAAATCATAATTTCCAACGTGTCGAACAACAGGTTGTGGTGGTGGTAATGGTAAAAATTCTTGTATTTGAGTTGTTGGTATATCACCGGTAGTTTGTGATGGACTATTTTGTACTGATATTGGCTCAGTAGACGATGCATTTTGAATAGTTTGTACAGCAGTAACAAATGGATTAACTAAATTTCCGACATCAGGAGTTAAAGGACCAGAATCTGTTGGTATTGCTGATTGTGGTGATGATGTAGACAATGACGAAACAATTAAACGACGAACATTTGGTGGATATTTAATAGACGATAAAGTAGAAGATGAAGATGATTGTAACACTTGGGAGGAATTCATAAGGAATGAACAACGAATACAATATACAGTTATATGAAAAAAATGTTGTCTTTAAATTTGTATTCTTTACGTATAAATTTTACGTAATTATTTTGTTTTTGTAAAATTAGAGAAAAATAAAAAAGTAGACTAATGTTTTTATTATTTACAATAGTTCAAGCATATTCGTATAAATCATTTTATATGCAGTTGTGTTATCTGACGTTAATATTGGTAGATCACTAAAATAAGAAAAGAAAATCGTAGATGATCAATTATATACCAATCTATAGTAGCTAATTAAACGATAGGATTTTTATTTCACAATCTAACTAGACATGTGAAAGTTTAAATACATTTCTAATACTAGAATAGACATACTTTCCAATAACAGTAGATCTCATAGGTAAAGCTGCAATCCTTATTTAATCTCGAATAGAGAGAGCAAGAGTACTTTTACATACCAAACAAAATTTTGTATGCTTTGAACAATATATATGTGATGATTATTACCAAATGCAATATTCTTGCTTTTCTTAAATACTATAGACATAAAATATTGCGAAATAGTACCGCAGCAACACATTGCGCAATTTTTTTATTGTGTAAATATTGCAAAACGCGTAACCCACTTGCGCAAAAGAAAGTAACTTACATGAACTAGTTTTTACTGAAATGTTTTTAATTAAGGATTTTTACATTAAAGAATGATTTAATCTTCTATCACGATGATAAAGAGGTGTTTCATAATTTTTGAAACCATACAGTTGCATTCATTAAGCAGTAATAATCTTCAAATATGTTTTCCCGGTAACTAATAGGACACTACATTCTGTTTAATAACAACATTTAGAAATTTCTAATTGTTATTGTGTAAGATTTCTGTTACACAATCTCTCACGTAGTATGGCGATAAAGAAATGATGATCTAACCGTTAGACGAATAATTTTTCTTTTTTTTTTTTTTTTGCATAATCCTACTATCAATTTATCATTGATTTATATGTTGTAATTTAATCGAAAACTGATTATATGAAAATGAGACTATTGACATTCTGCTACATCTTTCTTTATTCATGAGAATAATCACGAAAGATGGAAACACAGTGATCATAAATTCAAATAGCTGACTACGTAAAATAGCAAAAATATTCATATAATACAGAAAAACTAACAAATTTCCATACCGAAATATCAGGATACCAAAATCTATCTATGTGTATGTAAATGTGTTTAATTTGGTCACCTGTCAATGCAGTATGATGTTTAAACTTGTAATATTGCTCTGTCGAGTTCAAATGAGTTGTTAAGACAAACTTTATGACACATTTCGTTCGACCAGAGGTGAATATTCTAAGTATCACAATCGTTGATTGTCATCTTACATACAGGACCTATCGTTCTACACATAAGTGAATCTTTGATACTTTCTCTACACATCTCTATTACATGAAATCCGTTCAAAGTTCATTTCCATTTTGTGTTGATGGCAATTACGTTTGTACTAAAAATGTCTACCCAACTATTCTAAAAAAACGAGTTAATCCTGGAAGTTATACTAAACAAGATATAAATGTATATATTGATCATTCTGAGAATCGAAAAATTTTTTTGATTAATTAATTATCAACAACATGCTATTTCATATTCTAACAATAGACTAACTAGAGTCAGTTAAAAAAGATGAATGTTCATGTTTAATGTATTTTTCCCTCTTTTAGTATGAACTTAATAAGTTTCTATGAAAATATTCTTTTCTCTTCCCTTCTTACTCAAACAACATTTCAATCGCAGACACCATGCTGTTGTTTCTTTCGTTACACATTGTCTATAACGACACAACATATCTCTGGATATATATGTATGTGTAGATCGCTTTTTTATACGTGTGTAGATCGCTTTTTGTTCTCTCATTTTGTCTAAATGTAAATTATTAGAAATCATGGTCGAATTTTTCTTCTCAACATTTAGTCCTTTACTCATTTTTATATACATTTGCTTTTTAATAACATTCTATACATATATTCGCATCATACGTATAAATAAAAAAGATATACAGTCTTATGACCCTGAACACATAACAGCGCTTTCATCGCCTCACTCTAGAAGTTCAATGACGATAAAATGGTTGAGAACATTTCCACAGAGATACAAAACTTTTTCTTTCTTTTATTTTTTCTTAGAGAAGTTGAGTAATTGTAAAACTATGTAATGGAATATTCGTTTTTCCTTTACTCTATGAAGTTGTATGTATGTGGAAATCCCAATTTCATTTCTATTTTGCAGTTCAACTTGTTTTTATTCTCATTTTTTACGTTTTTTTTACTTAAAACAGGATCAATACTTAGTATATACACAACATTCATGATTACCTTCCACCTATTTCCTCACGTTGATAATCAGATTCCACTTTAATTCAGTGTGACTCACTATAAAAAATGATCTGCCCTCTAAATGAAGTCTAACTTTGAAGTATACAACACCAAAAATCATAACAAAACAAACGTATAACTCTAATTAACACTATTGGTTAACAGAATCAAAGAATATATATAGTTTTCGAATAAAAAAGCATAAAATGTACAAAATTCAAGATGCTTCTAGATGACCTTCGTTAAGAGTAGTTGAATTAGTAACTAAAAAAATGCTTACCTTTTACTTTTCTTTACACGAAGACTAGAACCAGATGCAGCAAAACAGTTTGTACCCAAAGTCAAAATGCCGTTGAGAGATCGATTAGTGAGATGATTAATATTCATTACCATGTTACCTTATATTTATACAGTTTGAAAGAAAGAAAACTTTACGTAATTGTTCTAATTGTTAACGTTCTAATTAGTATTGTGAAATTTTTTCAAAACTAGTAATAGTAGTCTATTAATAATGTCTGTATATGTTTCTTCTTTTTGCTGCTTTATCTTACTGTAATGTTGGAAACTCAGGAATATATCTTTTTTTCTTTCTTTCTTCTCTCTCTGTATATCGAAAGGTTGTAAGGAGGAGAAAAAAATGAGAGAAGAAAAAAAAAGACGTATAGCGATAGAGTGCCTATACAAAATTGACACGAATAAATTTTTTTTTTTTTTATATAGAATCGTTTAGAATTACGAAGAAATGTATTATTGTGTGTGAGTATTTTTCTTCTCTTCTTGTTCGCGTAGTACGAGAGCTATGATGTTTAGATTGTGATGACGAAGAAAAATGATGAAATTACAATACATCTATCGGAAAAGGTTGTGCAAGAACACAAGGAGAAATAGAGTAGTATAAATTATTTCGACGCTTTAAACTATTATACATTTTGTATTGTCATTGTATTGCAACAGTCTGTAAAAAAAAAAGCTATGCCTTTTTCTTTCTATTTGGCACTAATAGTACATGTGACTTTTGACAGAATTTCTATGATATAATAAATAACACAGCTAAACTCTGTAAGAATGCACATCGATCGGAAAATAATATAGAACATTTGTTAGGACAACGCAACATATCTCTATGTCATGATGAAATTTTAAATATGTCTCATTTGATTCATGTTATGTTTATTTACATTTTGACGTAATGTTTAAAGTGACCCTCAAAACAATGGAAATGACGATGTTAACTTTATTATTTTTTCTCGTCTTTTCTTTCTGGTCATGTACTCCTCCATTTAAACTTCTCTTCCTTTCCATCCACATGAGTAAAAGACATTTTAATAATTTTTAAATATTTTAGTATAATCGTTTTTCAAATGTAAAACAAATTCAGTCCATCTTCAATCAGAAAAAACTTCTGAAAAGAATAAAAACTTTAAAGAACAGGAGTATATATATATATATATACCAATCTATGATCGATGACTGTCTGTACTATATCAAAATTTTCGTTATCATAAATATAGACAAAAAAAGATACCTATTTATTTTTTAAGAAACAAGATATTATTTCGGCAAAAACTTGTATATGATCTAAATATGTTTCTTTGCCTAATTGTATTGTAAATAGTATCAACGTTTTAATAACTTTGAATACGGAAACTTTGATTATTTTTCTAGGTAAAAATGTGAATGAACTTAAAAATACGACTTATTGGGATATAGTTATTATAACTGCATTAGATAAAGCACAAAAGGAAGCGTATGATTCAACAATCAACGAGCGACTTAAAACGAATAGAATTCCATGTGGTGTTCAATATTTGATTGTTGCAGATCCATGGAAAATTGGTATGTAATATTTTTCTTAAATAATATTAATATTTTAATCGTATAAACTATGATAAAGTGTTAATAACCAACAGGTTTTCAAAAATGTTAGTCTTACACTTCTAATAGCTATAATGTTCTTTTGAGAAAAAAATTTCATTCAATTAGAATCATTTCAAGGTTATGTTCGATTGATACGGTCTAGTATTGTACTAAAAAAGAAAAAATTTAACTATTTGACAAAGATGAAGGAAACTATGACATAAATCTTGTATAACTTTCTGTGATATAATAAAGCTTGTTCGTTCGTTTTTTTTTGAATTCATTTAAACAAATTCATCTCTTATTTTTTACATAATCATTTTCTCTCATGTTGTAATACATCTCCATAGTAGTAGTGGTAGTGGTAGCATTATTATGTTGACTGAACACACATTGAATAAACTTGTTTATGTAACAACAAATGAATTATCTTCTTCTTTTATATATATATATATGTTTGCGAGACATAAGAATAAAAAAAGGGCGAATATAATAAAAGCAAAAAAGAATCTAATACACTTGCCATAATATGTTGGTATATTGTAATTATTCTATCTTTTTCTCTTTTCTCATAAATCGTACTCTCCGTTGATTATGTGGCGATCCGTATGAGAACAAAAAGAATTGTTGATATATGTGCGCGATTTGTCTTAAATGAAACTCCTGTAATAATCATGTTACGAAATAGAAGAGAAAAAGTCAAATCTGTTATTCAATCAAATTGGTTGTTTTTTAATATACCAACAATTTATAGAGAAAATTGAACAGGTTTTACCTAAACGTAATAATTATCATTTCTGATGATGTAAATGACCTTGAATCATTGACTGTTATCAATAATTTTCTTTTTTTTCTTCCGTTTAAACATTTCTTTCGTTATTTATTTTGAAAATGTCTTAAAACAGTAATAACACTGTTATGAAAAACTTTTATACAGTATCCAATTTTTTTATTCGATTTTTACTGACTTTCGATTAGTATTCTTTGTGAAAAAGACGTTAATTCACTAATTCAAGCGAAGATGTCAATTGAAAATAGAATTACTACAATCTTAAAACAAATAATGTTGTTTATAGAGTTCAATGACATGACAAAGAGCCCATGTTATTAGACAAGCAAATAAAAGAAGAATCCGTAGCTTTGTGCCTTCTCCATTTCATTTGAGATATTGTTCAACCAATTGTGTAAATAATATTTTTCATTCGTTTTTCTCATTTGATTACCAAATTCATTTTTTTTCTTTTTTTTAGGAAATGGTGGTTCAACAATGCACGCTCTCCATGTTGTTGAGCAACAGCTTGGTGAAAACTTTTCAAAAAATCGTATATTATTAATACATGCTGGTGGATATTCGCAGCGAACTCCAACATCATGCTGTTTAGGGAAAATATCAACATCAATTCCAAAAGGTATAAATATATACATAATGATTTTTGTTATAAGTGAAATGAAGATATTTTATTTTTAGGTTTTCCTGTATACGATTTACTCGATTTAAAATTAGCTTTATATAGTTTATTTCCATCGCGTATGAAATCTGGTATATTTCTTTGTTCATCGGATACAATTGAAATATTTGATTGTGGTAATGATATAAACTGGTGGATAAAAGAAGATTTTGTTGCATTTTCTCATCCATCCACTGTTAGTGTTGGAGAACAACATGGTGTCTATGTGTTAGATCGTTCATCAAGTAAAGATGGTATTTTGTATCAAGCTTTATGTGTTTTACAAAAACCATCGATTGAAAAGATGAAAAAATACAATGCAATTCATACAGAGAATAATAGAGATCGTGTTTATACCGATAGTTTATATTATTTTAATTTTAATGTAGCTAAAAAACTAATGGCTATTTGGCGTTCAGAATTAAAAAATGAACATGAAGAAACGGCATTCTACTGTGAAATTGATTGTTATGGAGATTTTATGATGCCATTAGGAAAACAAGCAAGTATTTCTAATGAATTCAATGACAATGATGAACGAACAAAAATATTAAAAAAAATTTTTGAAAATTTACGCACATGTCAATTAGAAGTTATTGTATTAGAAAATTCAACTTTTAATCATACTGGAACAAATGAAGAATATTTAGATATATGTTGTAATCAACAAGCACAATTATTTCTTGAACTTGATCTTACAAAACAGATTGGTTTAAAATTATACGACAATATAGAAACTCAGAAAAATATCAATTTTTGGCAAATGTATGTAATAAATTGATCAATCAAATAGTTCACAAATGTTTTATTTTCCAATTACTTTGTTTAGTTCATCTATAACGAATAAAATTTCAACAAAAACTCAACATCCTTTAAATATACACGGCTGTGTATTTCATAGTATTATTCATGAAAAATCTCACACTCATCCACGATCTATCATTGAATATTGTTTAATCAATATTCCAATAATTATTCAAATCAATTCAATTTTAAGTAATATAAATATCGATGGAACATGTATCCCAACTATTAATAGGATTGAATTACCATCAGGTTTAATTATGCAAACAATTTCAGTATGTGATAATGTTCATAACAACAGTCAATTATCTTATGTTACATTTGCATTTGAATATGATGCTTCTATGAAAAAAATATATAATGATATAAATGAAATGAAATATTTTGATAAACCATTATCGTTGATTGCTAATAAATTAAATTGTAAAATTGATGATTTATTTAATAAGAATGAAAAATCAAAATCTTTATGGAACATTAAGTTATTTTCACTTGGACAAACTCCGACTCAATCATTTATTCAAACATGGAATTTAATATCTGTAGATACAAATTGTTTCAATGAAAATTTATTGAAACGTATATCGATGGCCGATATTTTAAAAATTAGATTGGTGAAAAATATTTTACAATACAGATCAAATATGACTAATAATACAAACAATTCGTAGATTTAGTTTATTTTCGGGTGCTTTACTTTTTATTTCGGGGGCTTTATCTTCATGATATTTCGTATTTTTTTGTTTTTTTGTTAACGAAATACATAAATTTAGTGGGTTATAAACCGGCAAAAACGGCATCGTTTATTAGATCACATAAGCGAAACTGTTTAGATTGTATTACCCATAAAATATTCAAGAACTGTTGACTTCAAACACATAGCGCAACTATTTCACTTCAATCAGTTATTGTTCAATTAGAAACTGTTTCATTTACTTTAATCAAACAATTTTACTTTGCAACTTTTTCGCTTTAACAACAATCCGAAAAATATCGAAGACACTGGTTGATTGAAGTTAGTAAAACAAAAATAAATACAATAGATTCTTTCAATTCATAACACTTCTGAGTTTCTTTTTCATTTGTAATTCACATAGAAATTCTTGAATTTAACATCTTGTATCTTTAACGATGTCAATTCATATGTGACATTTTGTAAAAATGAGACAAATAAGCAACAAGACAAAAACGAACGAAAAAACATTCTAAGACAGCATGAATTGATAAAAAATGAAAGAACGAACGAAAGCATAAGGCAAAGGCACAGAAAAAAACGTTCTTTCTCCTTTCCGAAAGAAAATAATAATAAATACATTTAAAAAACAAAAACACATCGTCCGATTGTCAGGGTAAGATTTGAAAATAAAGCCGATAGAGAAACAATAACAGCTAATTATGAGCTAAAAAACCTCTTCTTGTTACAAAAAGATATTTGAAGCGTACAACAGTAGGAGCAGCGGTAACCAGAGGTGCGCGACAACATGAAAGACAGACAAAGAATAGTATTGATAGAGAGAAGAAGAGTAACGAGTTTGTAATACAAATTCAATTAAGTTTATGATAGTTTGTTGTTTCAACGAATTGTCGGTTGTTGGAGATCGACAATGGTGGATATTGATCGTTCGTTGAACCAATTAAACAAAAGTCATCCTCATCAAACTAAAAATAAGAATAAGTGATCAAGTTTCTCTCAAATCTAAGAGAATTTATTACTTACACTTTGTCCACTTGATTGCGATAACGATGACAATTGACTACTTCCATTACGTTTTTGCAAATGAAATGTTGAATCAAACGATTTGACAACATCATCCAAATCTCTATCGCGAGTACGACAAATATCATAGTTTTCTTCTGGTATATGAATAGAAAATAAATTTGGTTCATCTGCTAGTAAAACAAACGAAATTAAATACTTGGATAATATACGTCATACCACGCACAAGAAGTTAGTTATTCACCACTTCGTATGCACGTATGAAGGAAAGGCTATACCTATTGTTCTGTCGACTACATGTGCCTTTGCTAGTGAAGTCCCTCTTACTCTTCTATATTGTGGCTGCTTGCCTTTTAAGTGACTTTTTCGTTGTCCACAACGAAATTAGTTCAACATACTTTGATTTGTACGTGCAGTTGTGTTTGTGCCCGTAAATGGTAGTTTGCAACTCAAATCCTGTAATGAAAGAAAAGTCAAATTATCATTAGACAAGAAAACTAGCATTTTGTTCCAGCTTACCGTTGTTTGTAATGGTCGACGCTGATCAGTTGGAAAACTATAAAAAGAACAACCATAATGGAGTGAAAGATAATCGAGGAAAGATGCAGACATACTTTTGTGGCTGATGTGTTTGTATTAATGAATATAAATTGTCCGTCAAAAACTGATTCCTTGGATCATTTTGTCTAGGAGCAGCTACAAAAGCAAAGAGACATTTTTCTTTTAGATTGCCGAGAAGCACGGTTCCTCAGAATTTGCTAGTACTGTTTTTTCTCTATCTCTCTCTGATCTGATCTGATACCTCTAATAAGAGAAACCCTTTTATTTACCGGTCGAGCGGGTATAAACTTCATTTAACATATTTGTTGGATTAATTCGACCAAATAATTCTGACGGTGACAGCGGTGAATACTATAAAAGAACAGGAAAAGATTGTTAGATTACTGTGTGGTTTTTGAACTGAGAAAAGATATCTACTCTTGTGTCATTCAACTGTTCGTTGATTCTTGACGCTGTACGATGGTTAAACGATTGAAGACCATCAACACCACTTGAACTAAACGAGGAAGGTGTTGGCACAGATGAATACAACGGCTGTTGTGATGGTTGCTGAACACCATTAACTGGAAATGATCCATTCATCATCTGCAATAAAATACAAATATAGAAAAAACAAGCAAACTTCAATTTTACTTTTCCAAAGCTATGCACAAAGTGACTATTTCACTTAACTGATTACACATTAAAGGTAGCAGTGTGACAATCATAAGGCAAATTTCTCCTGCTTAGTATTCTCGAATGGCCTGCTCCATGCAAGTACTTCACTCTATACAAAACTCAGTATGGCAAAAGAAAACTTACCATTTGTTGTTGTAATAGTGTAATAATCGGATAGTAAGCTTGAGGGTTCAACATTGCTTGTGCTAGTGCAGCTGTGAGAACAATATTTTCTTGAGCTGGAATAATACCCGGCATCGATGCCGCTGGAAATGGCTGCTGTGGAAAGCCAGGTGGAGGTGGAGTAGGATGTTGATGTAAATGGTGATAGTGGTGATGATAATGCTGTTGAGTACCTTCAGCTGTGGTTGATGAATACGACTGTTGCCATGGCCTTGTTGTCTGATTTAATGAAGGTCTGGATTGCCTCACGGTATGATCATTATTTGCACTTGCACGAAATTTATCCATTTCTTGTTTCGAATGTGCGTATGTACAATGAATGCCTAAAGTAAATAAAATCAAGTTATTATTTTGAAATATGTCACCATAGTCGATTTCAGTTGAAAAATTACTTTTGTGATTCCTGCAAGACAATCTCTACTACTCTTGTGTAGATAGAAAGCTACTAAATTTCGTCACATATAAAAGCTTCTTTATTGGTACATACCTCTCGGACATGCACCTTTTTGTATGTGGTCTCGACATAATGATACTTTATATTTTGGAGATGCACTCGAGTTCAAGTCACCATTACTACTTGCATGTGACGTTGTTGCCGAATCGACAATCATTTCAGCAAAGACTTGGAAAATATTTTTAAGTGCTTGTAATATTTCACATGTACCACGCATAGATACGAAGGTTTCATCGACATGTCCTAAAATGTGAGAAAGATATCAAAAGAAATAATTAAAGGTAAGAAAGAAGTAGCTTCGCAAAATAATCGGAAATGACAACTGTAGAAACAGCCCTCATTATGTGTTGTCTTGACTCATTTGAACCTTTTGCCATACATTTAAAGTATCTAGAAAACCTTTGATGCATAGTTCCTCCGTGAAAACAGAGAGCTTATTTACTCACTAGAATAGTTAGATTACTAAAAACAACGTTTGTGGCTCATGCTTAACTGTATCAGAAAAGAATTTTAGCTCTTTTTAGTTCTATTCTGAAATGAACCTATTAGCAATCATAGTATTAACATCAAGTTTCTTCTTACCTGTTGTCGAGTCAACCGCGGTTTGTAATAATTGAAAATCTTTAATTAAATTTTGGTTTACATCACTGTCATTAACATTATTTCGTTGAGTTAATTCTTGTATTTGTTGTTGAAATGTTAATGATGTTTGTTGCTGTTCTTGCTGGAGAACTTTATCAAGAATTGTTTCCATTCGCAGTTTATGCGACGGATTTCCATATAGTAATGATGACCATTGTTCCGGACATATACGTAAACCAGCTTCTTGTGCTATTTGAACAATTTGTGCATCATGCTCACGTCGTAATGCCTCATAGTTACGATTTTCAGGTTTCAGTTGCATCAATGAGGATTCATCGTCACGTTTTTGGACCTAATGGAGAGCAAATAAACGACTAAGCATTAGCGAAAAAATGCGGACAAAAGTACAAAAGGCAGAGAACTACTGACATTTAACTATAAGCTACTCAAGCTTTTCTTACCATAAAACAAGATGCTCTATATAACAACTGTATAACATGTCCAATTCTAGTTTTAGATGCACCTGGTTGTAGTTTTTGTACAACAAATAATATCAAAACTTTTCTAGTCATCGCTGATCCATCTTGTAATGCTAATATAATCAATTTTAACACTTCTTCTTGCATAGCTGTAAAAGACCGAGATGATTAAGTATATATTACTACAAACGAAACATCTAGAGATATTACCTGGTCCAAGAAATCGACATCCACGACTTTTGATTGCTTGCCATAAATCTGTTGCTGACTGATGTAACGTGTGTTGTTTTACCAAATATTCCCTTAATATTCGCTCACCAAGCGAATACGCTGCTTTTACGCATTGTACACGACCCTCATGCCCCAAATATTGACAATTGAGTAATGATAAAAAGTTGTCAATAATTAGACGGGATAATCGATTAACTACAAACAGAACACGTTGTTGTAAGTATTAACTAATATAAGTGTTGCTTTTCATGCATGTAAAACATACCTATTGGTTTTACGAATTCCTGCATATCTTGCAATAATGTTTGAGTTGAAATGAAGTGTGATTTTGATTCTTCATCTAAGTTCGTACGCATGAGATAATCGTCATATTTCGTTTCACTATTTTGACAAATCTTAAGATAAAACCCGGATACTTATGGAGGAAATAAATATTTGTCGACTATTTACCTTATCATCTCTAGCACTATCAAGAACAAATCTTGCTAATGGATAATTAATTGGAAGATGTTCGATAATCGTACTGCACGATGTTTGGCACTGATGTGGGCATTTTCCCATCGGCAGTTGTCGTGAACATGGGATACAGATTGTATGGCCACACGCTAATGTTACAGGTCGACGTATATCCCAGTCGAAAGCATTCAAACAATGCAAACAGCGAACATCCGATAAAAACAATGATGATGATGAAGAAGGCATCTAGGCAAAAATAACAACACTTCACTGCAAAGAACGCATCTCTCGTATAACACTAAATAAGGAAGATACCGTATATCTGTCTCAATACAGTTACCTCAAAAATAACGCCTAAATAACTAGTAAAATATTTTGAAAGAGAAATGATTCAGCATAGAATTGTAAACTTATCGTTAAAAAGAAAACAATGACAGCGAGACGGTGTAGTTGCTTCCAAAATCTTCCTTCGTGCAATATGGAAAAGAAGCGCAATGCAGCAAACTACTCAATCTAGAGACTTAGTATGTGATACCTTCCTCGTTTAGTTTAAGTGGCGTTGATGGTCTTCAATCGTTTAACCATCGTACAGCGTCAAGAATCAACGAACAGTTGAATGACACAAGAGTAGATATCTTTTCTCAGTTCAAAAACCACACAGTAATCTAACAATCTTTTCCTGTTCTTTTATAGTATTCACCGCTGTCACCGTCAGAATTATTTGGTCGAATTAATCCAACAAATATGTTAAATGAAGTTTATACCCGCTCAACTGGTAAATAAAAGGGTTTCTCTTATTAGTTTTATTATCTCTCAGATCAGAGAGAGAGAATATCCTACTGAAACTCCTTGCACCCAAGATCTTGAGCGTATCCCTTCTTAGGTGAGAAATTTTCTTTACATTTCGGTTACATTTATGACAGTCATAGCCATCAGATACGCGACCATACAGAATCATAGACTCTTCCTTAAGCAACTATATTCAAGAAGAAAAAATTCAAAGTTATTCTAAGTTTGAAAATATTCACACTTGTATTTACACAGAGGTATGAAATAAAACGATGATTCAAAAATTTTCAAGAGCTTGGATACAACAAGATCTTGGCTAAGAAGTCAAGAAATTATCAGATGTCCAAGATCTTGAATTCTTACATTTTCTCATCAAGATCTCGCTTACAAGAAGATCCACTAGAGCAGTATTAGCAATTTCCGAACAACCGCGCTTCTCGCCAATCTAAAAAAAAACGTAACCAACATGTGAGAAAACAGAAAATTCCTTACTTTTCGGGAAAAGTCAGTCAGTCTTTTGTTATTACTGAAAGTCAAGCCGGATTTATCACGAGAACTTTAAGCCCAACTGGATCTCTACTCAATAGATAATCGGAATCAAAGATGAATAACTTACTATGGACATTTGCAAAAGTAAATATAGAAGAAAAACTGGAGTAGTTCTGTTTTGGGTTGGTGATAATATTCAACGGAACTAACCACTTCAGTTACTATAAGAAGAAAAAGAGAGAGGGAGAGAGAGAAAAAACTCCAATAATCTTTGTATAAAGCATCACAAAGAAAGAGCATAGTAAACGTGGCATATGTACATCAACTTATTTCGTCAATTTTTCTCTTTTACTTGTTTGAAGCGGTCAGATTTTCGGACTAAAGAATTCGACAATATTTATGGTTGTGTATCACATGGTTGTTTAACGCAACGTAACGAAAAACATTCGTCTAATTTACTAAGAAGTCTGGTGTAGAAGTGAAAACCATTGTTAAACTCTATGTACTGTAGGACTATTATGCGTATAAGGGCGTGGTAACATGCGAACCTCGAGAAGAAATTATCTAATTATTTTATGGACAAGTTCGATGTAAGAAAGTAAAGACACACTTCGCTTCCATAGCTTAGCTCAAGTAAAAACATATGTTTCCTCAGTCGTCATATTGTTGGAGAAAAAGAAAATTAAGCAAAATCGTATCAAAACATACCTCATTATTGCACTATGAATAAAATTAAGCCTGTAAAGTAGATACATAAAGCAAATAACATCGTAAACAAAAAGAAAAGAGGACTTTTATAAATTTACATCTCTCATATATTACCTGCTTGGCAATCCGATCCACCGATCATCCTTCTGAGCCCAGTTCAACATTGCTTCTTGTTCAGTCAGTAATTAGAGTAACTCACCAAGAATGCTATCTGTAAAAATAAATAACGGGACGGTAGTTAGGTACCGTAAGAGAGCGGTTTGAATAGGTACACAAAGTATATTCATTTGCACTTTTATCAAAATCAAAGAATGCCAATACTATACTCCAAAAGGTCTAAAAAATCCATGGAGTCTTGAGAAAAGGGTCTAGATGTTACATCTTCTGAATACGGACACTTACATAATACCCTACAATATTTTTCAATTAATTAGATTTAGAACTCACATAAAGTTTGTTAATTTTTTTGGCTGCGTATAGACGTTTTGAAGTAGTTGTTGATCAGTTAATAACGGGTAATCTTTTTTAGTGCTAAAAACTTGTAAATTAAAAAGAGCACTGTAAAAAGCCTGTTTCGAGAATTGCTCAATTTTTCCAGTTTTTGGGTACTTCTACAGATTGATCAATGATCACACACTCACCACAGTAACATTCCTAGGATATATCTGATTGGTTCTCCTCTTGCGAATTAAAGTGTGACAATGTCTTGATAAAAGTTAGTGCCATGCCATATATATATAATACTTTTACGTTGATTCCTTTAAACTCCAAATAACACCTCCAAGGAGCCAAAGTTAATGTAAATTGACGTAGATGGTCTCTTTTTGAAGCTACTATTTAGAGCTAAAAGAAAACATCGATACTTTTATCGTGGCGTCAGTATATGTTAATATCTACAACTGTGCATAGGTGACCGTTAAACAGATGACTGTAGTCGATGACCATTTATCCTCACGTTCTACAGTGTTTTCGAACCTCAGAGTGAGAAACTTGGGATGTTTTCACAATTTTAAGAAAGGGACTCTGAAAATTATTCTAAACCATCGTTCTCAAGTGAAGTCACCTATTTATTTATCTTTGAATTCGTGATCTCTTTTTGCTGTGTTTTTATTTAAATTGATTTTCATCGTTTTCTCGTTCATTGAAATACGAAACATCTTTTTTCGTGTATTATTTGACGTTGGTTTTTTGCAGATGACGTCATTAATAAAAGAAATGGATGCGCGAACGCGTGTGCGTATTTGTAGTGGACAAGTTATAATCAGTTTAGCATCTGCTGTCAAAGAATTAATTGAAAATAGTCTCGATGCTGATGCAACAAAGATACGTACGTTGTTCAAATTGTCATCTTTAAGCTCAATAAATGTGTAAATTAGTTGTTTTTGTTTAGAAATCACATTCGAGAATCACGGAAGTGATTTAATAGAAGTTACCGATAATGGTCAAGGAGTCGAAGAAACGAATTTCGGTGTACTAGGTTTGTATATTTTCCTCAAAATTAATTTTAGCCTCTGTTGTATATTGTTTTATTATTTTGTTTGTTCATTTTCAGTTCAACGTTATCATACGTCAAAAATACAAGATCTCGATGATTTGTTACGTTTATCAACATATGGTTTTCGAGGTGAAGCATTAAATTCAATTTGTACATTATCGTACGTATGGTTATTATCTATTTTATAATTTCTCTTTTTGTATGTCTCTTTTTATTTTTTATTTTAGTCAATTAACTGTTTTAACACGTCATAAAAGTGCAGCGTGTGGTACAAAATTAACATTTGATAAAGATGGAAAAATATTACAAAAAATACCATGTGCTAGAGAAGTACGTCATCCTGATGGTACTGTAAAAGAAAAGAGAATTTAAGACATTTTATGCTACTCAACAATATAATTGGTCTTTCTCTTTTCAAGCATAATTCGTTTGAAACATCGATGGTCTTTTCATTATATAACCATGACTAGTTATTTTCAGGTTGGCACAACGATGTCAGTTCGTTCATTATTTTCCACTTATCCAGTTCGTCGTAAAGAGTTTTTGTCGAATGTAAAACGAGAATATTCAAAAGTGTTACATCTAATACAATCTTACGCTCTGATATGTAAAAATGTTCAAATATCTTGTACGAATAAATCAACTGAACATAATAATACAAGTTCAACAATTCAGTTAACGACAACACCACATGCGACAATTAAGGAAAATATTATTGATTTGCATGGAACGAAATTTATTGATCATTTAATTGAAATTAAACCTGAACAACAAGATACGAGTAATAATGACGTTGATGGTAAATAACGAGCATGTCATTACAATTATTTATGAAAACGATATTCCTAAATTATCTGTTCTAGACGAAGATGGTGGTAAAGAAAATCAAGATGAATTAATCTCAAAGTTTAAGTTAGAAGGTTTTATTTCCATTGCTCAACACGGTAATGGTCGTTCAGCATCGGATCGTCAATATTTGTATATAAACTCACGCCCATGTGATAATGCACGTTTAATTAAAATAATTAATGAAATTTATCGTTCATTTAACCCACAACAGTATCCGATTTTAATTTTAAATATTCTTATTGATAAATCATCAATTGATATTAATGTCACGCCAGATAAACGAAAAATTTTTATTCACGAAGAAGATAAACTAGTTTTATATTTAAGATCAAAATTAAATAAATTATTCGAAACAAATAATGGAGTTTATATTCGATTCAATTCTTTACTACTACCCTCAACGTCAACAGCAAAACCAAATGAATTAAAAGAAAGAATTATTGAAAATATGAAACGAAATTATTCAAAAACAACAACGGCAATAGAGAATGATACACCAAAAGCTAAACAGATGAAATTAGACCATTTTATTAAACAACAAGATACAACGTTAAATACAGATGCACAACAACAGGTCGGTAATCTTTTGGTCATTTTATTGTTTTATTTAGGACAATATTTAAATTATATGTATCAATTTTAGCGCATCTCAGTGTCAGATGAAACATTGGTGAATGCGGACGATATTCTTCTCAGCGAGGATGAATCTACGCAAACTTCAAGTGTTTATTTTATTTTTTTATTTCGTTCATACAAGTGTTTAATTTTTATCGTTGCGTTTTAGATTCTTCTACTACACCTGTTAATCAGACCATTGTTGAGGCTGTAGCTTCACGAATATTACCAGCTGTCGGCGTATTTACAACGGTATTTTGTTTTAAATGTTAGTTTGACTGATATTAACCTTTGAAGGACTTTCTCATAATTTTTGCAGATTGGTAGTCCAAATGAAGAAAATGAAAAAAAGAGTTCATTATGTACACAAGATCGTCAATTCTATACATTTGAACAATATCCAATTAAAAATCATTCGTCTAATCAACCAACTACAATGGCAACAACTGTTGAAACGTATCATGATAAAATATTAACAAGTCCATCAAAACAAGAATTATTCTATCGATTAAAACAATTGAGGCAACAAGATACTGAAACAGATGATCTCGCAAAAACTGATCATGATCTACAAACATATTCACAACAAACAAAAACCGATGTTAATCTACAAACATATCCGCAGCAAACAAAAACTGATCTTGATTCAACAATTACTACTACGCCAAAAATTACTACAGATGATCAAACGGAACCGGTAAAAATTACTTCATGTTGTTTTATCCTTCTATTGAAACACAGCTAATTTATTTGTGTTTGATTTCAGACGGTTCGTTCGTACAAAACGGTTGAAATGACAGTTAAATTTGATTTTGAAAAGTTGAAAAGAAGGTGGGAAATGAAACAAAATAAAAAGAACAATGCACAACCGGCACCCTCAAATTTTGAGGCGAAAATATCAGTAGAAGATAATCAAGCGGCTGAAATTGAATTACAACGACAAATAGATAAAACTGATTTTAAAATGTAAGAATAAGGCATTTTTTTGGCTATTCTTCAAAATTTGCATTTGTCTTTGAATATTAACGAAAATTTGGCTTTTCAAAGGAAACTTATCGATTTTGTCCAGAAATTTTCACTTACCGTCTAAATTCTAATAAAACTTGCAAATGCAATCATCTGTTTGATTATTTGTGTTTTAGTATGAACATTATTGGTCAGTTTAATCTCGGTTTTATAATTACTTGTCTTGATCGAAAAAATTTGTTTATAATTGATCAACATGCCGCAGATGAAATATATAATTTTCACATGTTGCAAGAGACAACACAATTTGAATATCAAAAACTATTACTGCCAAAATATTTATCATTAGATTATTCACAAGAATTAATTCTGAAACAACATTTAAATGTTTTCAAAAAACTTGGGTAGGATTGTAGAAAGAGATAGCAAAAAAAGCACCTCTAAAAAATTGTTTACAACTGTCAAATTCAAATATAGTTTAAAGAAAAAATGAATGTTTTGGTTTGATTTAGTAAATATTATTGGTTGTTTTTCTATTTATCTAGTTTTGATATTAGTATCGATGAACAAGCACCAATCGGAAAACGTTGTCAAATGTCAACATGTCCAACAGCAAAATCAATGTTTTTTGGTCCCGATGATGTAGATGAAATTTTAAATTATTTAACAGATAGCTGTGGATCCGGTAATGTTGATGAAGAAAACTCATCAATTGATCAATATTATGTGTCATCAAAATTACGAAAATTATATGCATCAAAAGCATGTCGAAAATCAGTCATGATTGGCTCAGCACTGAGCTACAATAAAATGAGAATAATTACTGATCATTTGAGTACAATACAAAAGCCTTGGGTATGTTTATTGTTCATCTACATTGATTAAACACTTCACTTAATATTTCTGTATTTTCAGAATTGTCCTCATGGCCGTCCAACAATACGTCATCTATTCAATTTTGACCAAATAGAGTCCACATTCATTGATGGCTATGTTGTACAGGTATGTATAATTCATAAACACCGACCAGTTTCTTTTTTGTTTAGAACAACTTTTCATATTTAGAATATCGGCAATTGAAACGTCCTCAATATAAACCCGGTGTGTGTGTGTATATATGTATATCAGACAATCTATTGATGAAATTTTTCTATTCTATATGTTTTATTAATACTAGATATAATGTGTGATATATTTGTAACTGATGTATTTATCATCTCTCTTTTGTTTTTTTAGAAATCGAAACTTGATAATAAAAATTAAATTTGTGATATTTTTTTGAAAACTTCGATAATAAAACCATGTCAATTAAGTATTATTCGAATCGAGAATAAATGTTTGTCCATCAGTCACTTTACTGTTATTATCTTTATACCAAAGACTGAAAGCAAGCGGTGATGAAGAATCTTTCAGACGCTTTGATAGTGGTACATGAAATTGTTGATTATCTTTTTTCTGTAATTGGGCATTTCGTAAATATATTTCTTTTAATTTTTTCAACCTCAATGGCTAAGGGTATTTGGACATTTGATTGTCGAGAAAGATATTCAGCACCAGATATGACAGTGCTTGATCGCGTTCTTTTTGTTGTGTCCAATATCGAATTTTTTGACATTGGTTTTATTAATCTAACTCGTCGTTCTTTCAAGTTGAACGAAACATTTTCCGAAATTGACTTTGTTTCTTGTGAACTTCTTATTTGTTGTCTCGCTGATTCTTCAGGTGATGTAGTTTGAGTCTTTCGAACTTTTAATAAAGTTGAGACAAGTTTTGCTGCATATTGACTAGAAGTCTTGTTTCCAGATGCAATATGTGTAAAGGGTTCTTGTTTTGTAGTATCTAAATTGCTTGTTGATTTATCTGAACACATACTACCACTAGATGTTGAATTAAATGAAAGCTTTTGTGCATTTTTTTGCATTTGATGATTGCTGTTTGGTTGTTGTTGTGTTTCGTTTCTTGTTTGTTGTTCATTAAGATTAGAAATTCCTCGAATATTATTCTTCGTTTGTAGGCCATAATTATAATGATCAATACTTCTGTTAAATAAACTATTAACCATTTTTACTGATTTCTTGGGTTTATCGACTAGTTCAGTCTCATTCATTAGAGTAGGAGCTGCATATATTCCTCTCACGTATCTCGGTAATGTTGAGTTTGAGTTATCTCTTTCAATTGTTTTGTCTTTGTTTGCTTTTGTTTGCTTGTTGTTATCGTGCTTTTTATCTTGTACAGATTTTCCGATAGCGCATAAATTATCGTTAGAACTTCTTGTAAAAGCATTTTGACTCCACGATCTATTTCTGAAATGAAATCAGTAAAATAGACATACAAAAGCTGTTTCAAAACACTTTGGTTTGAACTTTTCGAAAAATGCATCGGCTCTATTTAGTATGAAAGACTTTTTTTAAAGAATCCGTAAAAACGAAAAAAACATTTTGATTAGCGAAGTCATCGAGTGATAGTTTTCCTCTTCTATTTCCATCGTTGTTTTCAACATTGTATTCAAATATTCATATCAAAAATATAAACAAGGCGTGAGTGATCAATTTGTGATTGATATAAACGAATAAAGACCTTTTGTTGTCTCCACTGTTTGTGTTTTCACGAACACAGATTTATGTTGTGTTTGCATCACAATTAGGTTATTAGCAGGGTCGTCTATTCTGGGTGTGCGTGCGAGGGTGCATATTCCCTCAATTATTCAAATATTATCTTTTTTTGAACAGTTACGCGGAAACCACTCCAACTGTCTGCTAGCTTTTTTCACGAAATATAGTGGACAATAGGTAATCGAGTGTGCTGAATCTGAATAGCATAGTGGTTTGGGCGTTTAGGCCTCCAGAGATCGGTTTTCTGGGAAACCAGTTTTTCAGAAACTCTAAAAAAGAACCCAAGCCTTTTTTAATGAGGCATAATTGTAGCTCGCATATTTCTGATTAAAATGAGACATCTCCCAGCTCTACATGACCTTTCTTTGCAAAGTTATAGAATTTACAAGAAAGGCTCTAAATATTCATTGTCAGCTCAAAGCTACAGAAATAAGAAGAAATTAATTCAGGGCTTTTCTTGTAAAGTCTATAACTTTGCAAAGAAAGGTCATGTAGAGCTGGGAGATGTCTCATTTTAATCAGAAATATGCGGGCTACAATTATGCCTCATTAAGAAGAGTTTGAGTTCTTTTTTAGAGTTTCTGAAAAACTGGTTTCCCAGAAAACGGTCTCTGGAGGCCTAAACGCCCAAACCACTATGCTATTCGGATTCAGCACACTCGATTACCTGTTGTCCACTAGATTTCGTGAAAAAAGCGATGGGACAGTTGGAGTGGTTTCCTCTTTAGACCTAGAAAAAAATAATTTGATTCTATCTCTGCGAGAATCTTTGTTACACTCCTCCTAATGTGGATTCCCTACTGACAGTCACGGTTATTGGTAATCAAAAATAAATCTTTACCCCAGTATGAAGTAATCATTATCTGATGAGAAGCAGATCCTTGTGTACATGTAACAAATTTTCACCTCTTTTTGATTTGAAAAAGAGTTTCCGTTTTGGTTTGATCTGGTTTGACTTGAGATTTTTAAAACACAGGAACAGATTCAACCTCTGGTTCGTTCGTTTCTTTCTCATTTTTTCTTCGTGTCGCTGCCTTCATGTGAAAGCAGATATATGAGAGCGGTAAAAATGAAAGGAACCAACATCTTATGTCAATCATCTCTACTAAATGCTCGAGATGGACGCAGTTTCAATGATTCTGAATTAAACTCGATTAGTAAATTATATAATACCTTACTTGGTCATTGATTAGGTTTGAAAACGGAAGATCATCTGCTTCAACTCTTTTCCGGTGATGATCATCTGATACTGGAGTGTTTTTTTCGAAAGTTTTCGTCATACATTCGGACTGTATGTTGCATTGTCTCCAATCTTCTTCAGGAAGAATTGTTGGAATATTATTAGCCGTTTGATTGAACCATGTAGAATTATAAATCAAACCTCTTTGTAAACCTGATGCTGTTACAATGTGACATATGAGACCAGACATCTGTTTATCTAGTGCAGCTTGATTTGCGGGCAATAATAGAAGAATTCCATAATTTCTACTAAATAAAGGTGTATTAGACATTATTGTGCTATAATAAAACTCAACGGAAATCAATGATAGCGCTATAATAACTCTTTTTCTTAGTTACTCAATATGAGTTAGGTTTGTTTGTGTAAAGTTTACAGTTTGTCGTCTGAAGTATCATTTTCAACGTCGAACGTTCATTTTCTCTTCAACTACTTTTGAACAGCTGTTGTCATTTCGATTTCTTTTTTTGTAGAACAAATAACATTCTAGTTGCTTTTGCTTCCTGTTCTACGTCTTCTGAGATACAAATTTTAGCCTTGAATCAAAGGTCGAAAATGTTTCATCAAACATTTAAAAACGCCTGTTCATTGTTTCATGATCCTCAAGGATTTGATTTTATAGCTTGATTTTGACACTATTATCCAGAGAGATAATACTAATGTAATATTTGATACAGTCTTATTCCAGTGTTTAAGTAAAACTCAATGACATTGACTGTGTAAATTAGTAGACTATAAATTTTGTTACGATAATTTTGATATTGATTTTTGTCTATAGTAAAAGAAAAAAACCAATATTATTATTTCATTGACATTTTTAAATACATTATTTTAAAAATGCTTGAAGTAAGGTATAATAATATTAAATTTTTCAAATAAATGTCTTATAATATTTGATCAAGTTTTTTTCATAAAATTCAAGTACACTGTATATAGTTTACAGGAGGGATACTTGTTCTTCATGAGTTTACAAATATAAAAATGGCTGTTAGAAAATTTCTTTTTTTTTTTTTTAAGTATAAAAATATAAAAATTACTGTAACAACCAATGTTTTTTATATCTAACATTTTGAAGAACTTATTGTTTTTATTAAAATTTATCGTCTTAAAAAAATGTATGTAAATTTATTAGTAAAAATTAATGTACTTCACTTGTAACTTATCTATCGCTCTATTAACAAGTAGCTTCTTAATAACTAGTAAGTCAATGGTAAAAATTTTCTTGTAAAACTTTTACCTTTCCCAACGTTTTCATTTTATATTATCATTCTCAATAATTTATTCGGCAGACACTGTACACTACTCTTTATTTAGTTATTTCTGGGATGTAAAATTTTATCCTTTATTTAATAGTGACACATTGTTAATTATGTATCAATATACTTTTAGAAGGCATTCCTATTCCATTAGTTTAACGAATGATGGTGTCTGTTTAATTAATGAGCATCGGCTAACAGCAGTCTCTGTCCGTTCTTCTATGAACAAAGAAATGTAACAGTTGGAGTAGAAAATGAAAAAAAAAGGATAAAAATAAATGAAATTTTTGTAATTGTTCTACACATGCTACCTTTTCTTTCATTAGTTTATTATTTCTATTGTCAAAATGAAATATGAAATATAAAAAGCCGCAAAAGAATAATGGATGAACAGGAAACATCAGCTATTTAAATCGTTCTATGATTGAGTAAGAGAGAATATAATTTTTTTTCTATGATATTCTATCGTATTAAAGTGAAAATGTGTGAAAGAATTTCTCTTCAGAATTAGATATGAAATAAATATCAATATTAAAAGAACTAAATATTAATATAAAATTAAATATTTATACTGTAATTATGAAAAAAAACCTATAAATATAGAGATATTTCTTGCATATAATATTATGTTCAGGAAATTTCTTGTTTTTATAACATAGTTGACTGTATCATTCAATTCAGTAACATTATTTATTATTTTAGAGGATCCAACCATATCAGAGACTGCCCATGTGTACTTTTACTGTTTGAAATTCTTGATCTTTTTATAATTCACTAGGCAGTTAGTGTCAGGAATATCAATTTTAAGGATGCACGCTATTTTTTCCTCTGAAGAATAGAAAACATTTTGTAGAAAATGAGTGCCAAGCTCTTCTTAGTGGACGTGCAAATAAAAAAGAGATAATGCGCGTCATATTTCTTTTTTTTTTGAATAATAAAAAAATGTCTAAAGAAAGCGTTTTCTTCTTTTTTTTTTGTTTTTTTTTAATGTGTCAAAAACGTAATTTGTTGTTATTCTTTTATTTTTCTTATTCACAGATAAATTCTGAGAAAAAAAAATGTAGTATGAACTCAAATTATTAAACTCTCCGTTCTTTTTATATTAATCTTCGTAACAGAAATGACTTGAAGCGTTTTAAACTCAAATTTTTGGTATCAGATTAATCTTTTAATATTTAATCACTTTAACTCACCCGATGTTGGTGTTACATGAGCTAATCTTTCTACCTTTCCTCTTATTTCACTGTTTCCGTGTATGTATCTGATCTTTCCGCTTCTTCACACTGTTATTCTCTAATTATATGTGTTGTAGTATATATGTATTATATATATATATACACATGCACACACACACACAGACACACATTTACAATATACATTTTCTCTCTCTCTCTCTCTCTCGCTGTCTCTTCCCTTCTATATGTACTGCTATGTGGAGAATTTGAAAAGAAATTTCTCTTTTCTTTCTCTTTTTCCTCATCATCTATTATGCTTGGTAAAACACACAAATAATGATGATGTGTTATATATTCCCAGCTTTTTTTAAATCTTCCTAAGCTCTTCGTTAAAAGTTTAGACTAGATTAACTCATGCACCGTGAAGAAAATAATGAATAACGTAAATGAACATTAGTTGCATCATTTCAAGTAAGTAATAAATGAGTAATTTTTTAAAATGTAAAAAGATTTAGAACAACTTTGATGTTTACCTTTGTTTAAAATTTAAAAGTTCTTGATTCTGTAGGTCTTCATGAGAAAAATGTTTAAATATTGAAGATTTTTTGTAAGAAAACAAATTTACGTACTTAATTGGTGATCAGTTTAATCAGAGTTCATAAATAATTCTAAATACTTCTTTCTATGTTTCTCATTATATACTAGGTAACTGTAGCGTAGGACAAAGTTTGAAAATGCTTTTCTAAACATGAGATACAGAAAGAACATTCTTCTTTATATTGCATTGGGCTAGATAATTACATCGCACAATTAACTACGATAGTACTGATATAGTATTATTTAGTTTTTAAGTATTCAGGTAGTAAAAAGCACAATAATGAAACATTGAGGGAAGAGGAGAAATTATATTTCTAAATTATTTTGATGAACATTTTCACATCGTGATTACTAATACGACAATCCGTGATTGTCTTTTTTTTCTTCTAAATTGCAATACATAGATAGACTAACATGATAAAGCTAAATTACACAAATATTTTTGACATCCGTCAAACGAGACGGGTCAGTAGTTACTCTTCTTGGAAAAAATCTATATAATTTCTATTAGTTGATTAAAGATAACTTTCATCTATATATGTGTATGAGAGAAATGATGCTCGATTTCCGTCATTTGAGAAATTGATTCTTCACATGATACAAATTGTGCTATATCACACAACACACCATACATATTGCCTGTTTAATAGAGATTGAAATTGTAACTACAATTATAAAGATCGGACACGAATATGTACAGTTTTAATTTGACTTTTTCATTTTTCAATGTACATAGTCTCATGACACATATTTCCTGACTAAAACTGATTAGAAATGAGATTCTACTTCAGTAATACTATTACTAAAAGAAAAAAAAATTGAAAACTGGGAACACTGAACAAAAAAGAAATTCTATTAACTGTATTTATTTATTGTGGATTATGAATGTTATTTGTATATGATTCACTACTACTGGTGCACAGGTAAACACGTAGTTGAGATAAAAATCACAATTTTGTTTAACAAATCTTTTTTTTTCTTCTTAACAATAGAAATTGATCGACGTGCTCAAGATTAAATATCTATAATAGTAATCGTATCGTTAAAATAGATAGTAAAAATTGCTCATTTTATTCTCAGTTGAATATAATGTACTAGCACGAGTATTACGTATATAAACTTAATGTTTCTTATCTTCAACAGATTTACTAGAGATTGTTCAATTCTCTACGACATTATATAAAACTCTGCTGTCATTTATTTGTAAAGGACTAATTGTAACGTCTGTTAAATGAGTTTAGATGTTACAAGTCTGTGGATTAGAATTGTGACTATAACATAGCCCATTTGAACGGTTCTAGGCAGTCTCTTCGAGAGTCATATTAGCCAAGTAGCTCAATTGACGGTTTATTCTAGGTGATAACTACTCTATGTGTTAGATCTATTAGAATGGAGTGAAACAGAAGTATATTACAATATTGTCTATTAACAGAACTTCATTAAAAAAAAGTTATGAACGTTAAGTTTCATGTGATCGTAAAGGTACTTGACTATAATTTTTCTCATACCTTTTAATGTTTGTTTTTCTTTTATTTCACAATTGACTAGTTTTTCTGACAAGGACGAAAATAGTGGAGAGATTTATGGATATCAATTATTCTCATTCTCTTTAAAAGTGTATACTACAATAGTGATAGATAGAATGTGTGAAAACACAGTGTAACATTATTCAATATAAAAAGAACAATAGCTTGGAACGATGACTTCATTAATATATTTATGAGAATAGTGACAGCATTATCTTTAAAGGCCATGATCTTGCATAATAATTATAGTGTCGATTATGACGGTAGAGAGTTGTAGATATTGTAAAACTTTTACTATAGAAAAAGTACAGTGCTAACAATGGAATATACTGCCAAACGTCCATGATTTATTGCCTCTATTAAGCTCTCGTTCCAAAAAGATATCGGACTACTTAAAACTGAATAGTTCGATTTTTCAGCCACCTTCATCAGTAACGGAAGCGTCAATGCAAGATGTGTGTTTATCTTCTTTCCTCTAAAAGTTCTTTTTCGGGACCTAAAAATGAGTCTATTCAAAAATAGTGAAAAAATATTATAAAATATAAATGCTCTATGTAAAATCGGCCGAATTTTTTCATTTTAATCTTTGACAAACGGAATTTGGAATAAAATCGTTGGTCTGTACATACAAAAATATTTTCAATTTTATCAGACAAGCAATGAAATCATTTTTCCTCATAGAACACAGCATCAATCTATGAATAAGATGTAGCTGAGGGATTAAGGAAAAAAATTATTCAAGAAAACTAAAATCGATTATCTTATGCAGAAGCACAACAGAAACATAAAGGAGATGTGAAATTGCACAGTAAATAATACTTCAAGAAAAGTTGGCTAACCGAAACGAATAAGTCGATCTAAATTATTTAATAATAACCATCTGTAAGTGATATATAATTCTTAATATTTTCACCGTAGTATTGTTTTAAAGTATGTTTTTGACAAGTTCTGCTTTTAAATAATTTGACCTATGTATTTATATCTTTACACAAACAACTAACATTTCTTAAGATTTTATCAGACTGATGAATTTTTAGTAAATGTTTGAATGACGGAAAAGGCATCTGATAACTTAGATTTTTTAATTAATTGTGTTCATATTAATGGTTCATCGAGTTATTTCGTGTTACGTTAAATCATAGAACATAGATAGATCACATATCTATGCTAAATAAGCAAGAAGAAACTGATGAACATTAGAGATAGTTGGACAGGCGGCTCTTTTTCTTATTAGAAGGACTAGAGATGATCTTGATATTGACTAATAATTAATCGTGTAAAAAATGCTTTGAAGATAACAACTAAATGTCAGTTATTTCATTTTTGTACAACAATATCGAAAATAAAAGGTTTCATTATATTAAAGAAATTTGAGTTATACGAATTTTGAAATAACACTAGACTAGAAATGTTGAACAAACACTAGCAAAACTCATCACATAGTACATTGATATTATATAATATAATTCCACATGATAATCTATTCTCACATTAGACTAGGTGAACATATTTGTGTCTGTAAGTGACAAGGACAAACATTAATCAATACTATCACAATAATCGAAGTATAGTTTGTTCAATTATTATTATTTTTCTCTTTTTGGGACACAAGTGTTGACATTTTAAACGAAAGATATCATTTTCTCTCTCACATAACTATAACCAAACACGATTAAAAAAAGTGTGATATGTATTATTTGATAACCATCTAACCATCTATTCGATTTCATAAGTTCTTTTTATAATTAAATTAAAAATTCTCTCTTTCTCTTGAGATACGTTATATATTCAAATAGTATGAATATAGTAGGTAACTATACACCTCTATATTTATTATTTATTCAAAAATTCAAACGGTCTAATGAAGCGCAACTTGTATTTATACAAAAAACATGAACTACTATGTATACAAGAGAAAATCTAATATACTAGCTATATTAATTAGTTAAAAAGCCGTGTCAAAAAAACGTATACTTATTTATGAATCTAAGAGTATCTATAAATATATATATTTTATCATAGTAATAAAATTTTTTGTTCTTTTCATCATTTATTGCATAAAATTTAGTGTAGTGAGAGAAAAAAATATATTTTCATAATAAGAAAATCTCGTAAGATTTGAGTACGATAAGCGGTATGCCATTGTGAGTCAAACATTTTTTTAAAGTGTATTAGTAAGCACATAAGATTCAAAAGCAAATTAATTAGACAAAAAGGATTTACTTTTAAGATAGATAGAATAGCTGTTAAATATTTCTTTTTCAGCTTAAAATCAGAAATATAGTAACGGGCGTCTTTCAAAGTTCTTTATAAAATTTGATAATTTGTTTTCATTCCGATTAAAAAAAAATCATGACATCAGTCCCGTTTCGTCGACACTCACTCTCACACCGCCCCTCCCGCCTTTGAAATTCTGTGATGTATATTCTTTGAAGTGCCCGATTTGTCGACGAAACGGGACGATACCCAAAATTATGAGTAGACGTTATCGATGATATCTAGTGAAAGATATAACTTTTATTTCTAGAAAACCATTAGTGATACACTTAATGATGACCTTTTACTCTACTATGTATTAATTCAATTTATCGAATTACTAAAATTTTATTTGATGATAGAAAAACTAACAAATGTATAAGGTTAAGGTGCTCGGTTAAATTATTTTTTGTTTGCTTTATAAAATCAATATTTAGGACATACAATCTGTTTTTGATTAGACAATAAAATCTTTTCCAGTTACAAAAAAAAAAACTAATGTAGTTATACATATCAATACAAATGTGAGATAATCTATATATATTTACAAAATTATAGTGAAATTAAGATTAATATATCCGGTTGAACAGCAAATGCATGAATTGTGTTATGTTTTTTCCTAAATGTTGCTACTCGTTTTAAGTATATTGAAGTGAAGTATAAAATTAATCATTCTTTTCGAACAATCAGAGTATATTAAATCAAGAATGCTCAATAGCCGTTTAATATTCTGTTTTTGTGTTTATTGTTCATGATTGACATCACTGTTAATGTATGTTGTTTTATTCCCTTCAGGCTTTAATTTATAGTCTTTTGAGCTTTTAGCCGCCTGATCAATAGACTCACTATTTTCATTTCAAGTGATGTTAATCCTATTATCATATGAGAAAGCGAAAAAAAAAAGGTCAACACCATTTTTAATTAGTGAAACATGACAGTAGCAGGTATACTGTTTAACAGTTTATATATGATATTCCTTGTTGCTGTTAGATATATATGCCTGATCAAACATAAATAACTGGTGTAAAACATAATTATTTGAAGGTCATATAATCATCATCATCATTGAACAAAATAAAGATAATGACTGCAGAATAAATTTGTTCTCTTTCATCAGTTAAAAAAGTATATTTGATGTGAGAGAAAAGCGGTTGTTGTACGTTGAAGTTTTTCTATTAGTACACCTTTTAGTAAAAGTTAATCATTGTTCATAATTTTTCTAGAAGACTTTTTGATATATGTTGATGATGAGTGATCATTGACTAAGATACGCTTTGAAAATGACTTACAAGCATGATTGGTGGCTCAAAACTTGGCTTATTGCGGCTCTGTGTTCCTTTACTGTTCAATTTGATCCAGGTAAACGTTTTTACCCACAAGTATTATTGCCTAAAGGAAATAATGATCTCTCTTCTAGATACATGTCAACAACCAATTGGATTGGAAAATAAAATATTAAATAGTGCATTTAGTGCTAGTAGTATAGCCAACAAGAATACACAGCCACACTATGCAAGGTAAGCAAAAAAGTTGACAGAATAGAAAACCAATTTATATTTTGTTATTTATAGAATTCGTTCTGAAACAAACGGCTGGTGTCCATCTCGTCTAATAACATCAGACACATATGAATATTTGGAGATTAATTTGATAAATTTAACGATCATAACTCTTTTGGAAATCCAAGGTGGTGGTCAATTGATGGTATGTTTAAATTTAATAATAATAGTTGTATGTCATATTCTTTTATTTTCTAAACAAAATTTAGAATGAACAATTTGCTGATAATTTTCGATTAGAATATAAACGTCATGAAAATATGACATGGATTAAATATAAGAGTTTTACTGGTCAAGAGGTAATTACACATAATAAGTAGTTATCTTTTTGTATTGAAATGTTATTTGATTACTTTTTTATTTAGAAATTAAGTGGAAATATAAATAGTTATATACCGGCTATGCGAGAAATTCTTCCAATAATTGTTGCACGAAAAATACGAATTATACCATTAACCGATATACCGAAAAAAGTTTGCATTCGTTTAGAATTGTATGGTTGCCTATCTACAGGTCTAGAAAGAGAAAACTTCACAAAAAAACATATTTATACTTACTTCAATTCATTTTCTATTGCTAGATGATTTATTATCATATTCTATGCCCCAGGGAGACAAGAGAGGATTTGATGTGCTATTTATTGATAATACCTATGATGGTAAAAATTCAAATGGAACATTAATAGGTAGGACTAATTGATAAATCAATAAAAAGAAATCAATTAATTGTTTCTATTATTCTCAGATGGTTTGGGTCAGTTAACTGATGGTGTATTGGGTGCAGACAATTATTTAGCCGATGGTGGAATGGGAAAGCCTGGTTACGATTGGATTGGTTGGAAGAAAAGTCCAAAACGAATATCATCCGTTGATATTATATTTAATTTTGATCATCCGAGAAATTTTTCATTAATAAAATTTTATACGAATAATATGTTTTCGAAAGACATTAGTCTATTTAACAGTGTGATAATTGCTACAAGTTTAGATGGTTTAAAATTTGAACCGAAATTAGTTTATCGTTCAATACGTCAAGATCATTCGAGTATGAAATCAAGATTCGTCGAAGTACCATTAAAATTTTTAATTGGGAAAATTCTTAAAATAACATTATCATTCAATAAAAAATGGATATTGATTAGTGAAGTAAAATTTGAATCTACAGTTATTATATCAAATACGATTCGTCATACAAGCACTGTTGGAAGTTTATCGCCTGTTATTGCTGAAGGTAAGTGATACGTAACCAATGTTATTTACAATTGATAAAAATATGCTTATTTCACGATCAGATCAACTATTAAACAAGCTTCAACAATTAAAATATTTACTTATATCGTTCATTGGATTAATTGTATCAATCATAATATTAATCTTTTGCTCTTTTCGATGTATACAAAATTGTAAACACAAACAATTAAATAAGTCAGTCATTTTCTTCTTACGCTATTCTTACATATCACCAATCATATTTTCTTATATTGTTTGAATAGAATGAGTACTCATTTGGGATATACACCAATTTCATTGAAATTTTCACGTGATAAAACTGGATGTTGTTATAATACGAATGGTTGCTCATTGTCTTGTATGTACAGTCGAAAATAAAAGAGAGAGCATTTGAAAATATGTGTGTTTTTCCTTAGCTGATGGTAATTCAACATGTAGTATATCGAACTCAGATATTAGACAAAATAATTCTCCTCAACATACTCTTTTGATTTCTACGACAACATCATCAAATAATACTTTAAAGGATACAATCCATCAGACATCAACAAATCCATACTTGACCGCAATAACTGATTATGAAAACGATAACATGATTGTAAGAATATCTTTTATTTTCAAAATATCTCTTTTCATTATTTTGTTGTCTTTCTTTTTTCTTTTTTTTTTTTTATAGACAAATCCATATGCTTCCATTGATGTGTGTCCAAACAATAAAGAAACAGTAGATGAAGCAACAAATATTCAAGGACCATGTGGAAATTCTACATATGAAATGAAATTAGATGCTAGAACCATACCATCTCCATTGCTAGTCATCAATGATGAACAACTTATTGTTGAAGAAAAATTTGGACACGGTACTTTTGGAATGGTAAGTGTTTCATAAAATTTTTAGTTTTATATTGAACTATTCGATTATTCATTCAGATATTTCGTGGCTACGTTTTTCTCAGACATCCGGAAGATACATTGAAATCAGTTTTAATAAAATCTCTTAGTACCAATGGTAATGATGAAGCAAAGTAAGTTATTATCAACTGTAAAGTATTGATTGACTGATATTAATCATTAATTATTTTAATAGAAAATGTTATGAAAAAGAGTATGAAATATTTGGTCAAATAAAACATATAAATATTGCCAATTTACTTTGTTATACAACAAAAAATAACTATTTTGTCATGGAACATAGTGATCTGGGTGATCTTTATACATTTTTATCTATCTCATCACATGAGCAAAAAAGTGTATCGTAAGACGAAAACTGTTCTAATTGTTGTTATTATAAAATAAATGATACATATATTTTTAGTATGAACATTCGTCTTTTATTAACAAATCAAATAGCGGATGCCATGTGTTATTTGGAATCTAAAAATATTGCTCATCGTGATTTGAGTGCAAGAAATTGTCTTATCTATCCAGAATTTGAATTAAAAATAACAAATTCAGCTATGGCATCACCTCAATTCAAATCACACTATTATCAAATGAAAGACAATTTATATCCGTTACGCTGGATTTCACCAGAGTCTATTGCAAATGTATGTAAGATGTTTCTGAGTCTGAATTGATTAATTCTCATCGTATCATTTTTTTTAATGCGTAGACTCAATTTACGTCTCAATCTGATGTATGGGCATTTGGTATTTGTTTATGGGAAATAATGACCGATTGTAGCACCATGCCATATTCAACATTGTCAGATGAAGAAGTGCTATACTGGCTACTGACCATGTCAAACTCACCGATAAAAAAGAGTGGTCTACAATTATCAAGACCAATATGTATGTCAAAAGAACTACTTGATTTAATGTCAGAATGTTGGAGAGCTTACCAAGATCGACCAACATTTAAAGAAATTCATACATTTTTAAATAAACGAACAGATGGAATGGTGTTATGATGGCATATACTGAAGAAACAATTTTACTACGTATTTTGTTATAATTTTTATTGTTGTTTTCATTTTTAATGTTTATTTGTAACAAAAAATATATATATACTTGTTGTTTTAGTGTGTAAACAAAGCATATTTAGATCTGATTTCAATTTGGATCTTCAAATCGATTTTTTCAATCTCAACTTATCTAAAAATATTCTTTATAAGTCTATAGAAATAAAAAATACAAAATTCAATCAATATTTCGTTAAAGAACAAATAAAATGACGAAATAACTCTTTAAAGAGTATCATTTAACTTATTAGCGATTTTAATGTGTTCTTTTTTTCTCCCGCATTCAAAAAGTAAATTTTAAAAAACATCTTTTGTCTGAAATCTGATTGTTGATTTTATTTTTTTGTTTTCATCTATTTACATTAAATTACTTTACAAAACGCATAGTTAAATAAACTCTGTGAAAGTATTGTTAAGCAGATTGTCGTTAACTCGTTAAATGTATTTTTCAGCTTTAGCAGTGTCGTTTTGTGCTGTGCTTTTTCTCTTTTATGCAGGTTAGTGAACTGGTTCATTTTATACTAGTTTTGCTTCATGAGTTGATATTTCTCTGATTAGAACATGGAACGGCTCTGTTTAATGTGATATGCTATGAATGTGAAAATTGTACAGATCCATTTAGTAATACTTCTTCATCACTTCGCATTACCTCTTTATGCAATGCATGTTATGTATGTATCTTATTATATTGATAGATTATTCATTTTTGAATTTACTTTTTTTTCTGTTTTATTAATAGAAACTTGCGATTGGTGTTGCTTATGCGCCATCGCCGTATATAATAAGAAAATGTGTATCTGCATGCTTAGAGGCTAATCAAGCATTTGGTGGCGGATCGGTTATTGCAAGTTGTTGTGCAACAAATTTATGTAATTTGGGAAGTACAATACAAAATTCAATCATCAGTATTGTAATACTACTATTATTCGTACAATTATTCAAAATTTATGGATAATTTTACGATCAATTGATCACGTTAACAATTGGATTAATCATGAACAATAAAAGGTTATGTTCAGCTAGTGGAAAAATAGAAGAAAAACAAGGGAATCTTTTCTCTTGCCTACCACCTTCTAGCCTTAACTGAGATTGAAATGAAACTAAAATCGAGTTTTGTCACTGATTAGTTGAAGAAATGATATTAGTATTAAGAGTTCAAGTTGTAAGAGCAAGAAAAATCATTTACATTTTTGCTATTGAATAGCAAAAAAATGAATACAAAAAATAAATACAAAGAAAAATCTATGCTCTGCTTTTAAATTTTGAATTCTATAATATATCATGAAAACTTGTAACTTCAGTATTAAATGCATCTGCTACAAAAAATTTACCTATCACAAATTCTGAACACTAAACATGACTACACATTCTTTATCAATGTATTCTTGTGGATAGTAAGAAATTGAGACGGATAATTTTTTGAAATTAAAATTCTCACAGTCTTCAAAGAACATGACTAATTACTCAATACTCACATAACGGTGATGGCATCTGTATAAATTTTGTTGAGCAGGAGTACTATTGAACAGATCTTCACAATCTCCACTTTGATAACAACTAACAACTAATACTATATTGACAAAGATTAAATTATAGACAGTGACCAGAACAATAATTATCGGATACTATCAGCTTCTTGATTTGACTTCTTTAATCCAGTATCTAGTCGTGGTTTATTAGAAAAAAATTTCATCAGTCAGATCGAACAGAATATTTTCAACCTCGATGCCCCAATGCTGAAAGAAATCATAACCTAAATTCTTCTTTTCTTGTTCTATACATATGTTTGAATCGAAATTCACTTATTGGAGTCTCTTATATGATGTATCTGAACTTTTAATAGGTCTTGTCTGGTCGATAATCTCAAAGATAACTCGGGCAGCCTCCTAACAGAATCTCTCGTGACTTTTGGCCAGAAATCAACAGTTAGCCGACACATTAATCATTGATTACTTACGGAAACAAATAATTAAGATCTTTTTTGAAATTTTTTGTTCTGATGGAAAATAAATCGTTGTACTTTCTACGCAATGAGTAAGTTTTATAAATCTGTTTTATAGTGAATATTATTCTTTAGAAAAAGACATCTCTATGCGTGAGATTCAAAATACATTAGGTTTTTTCATATGACGCTTTAAAGTTTTTCAAGCTATTTTGAAAAAGATTTTAGAAGGCTAAACGGGAGCTTTTGTCCACGTATTCAAAAAAAATTTCAGGAAAATAGGCGTTCGTAACATTCTATTTTTGTATTATCAAACAAAATAAAATGATTAACAGCAATTAAACAATATACAATGACTGATAGATATTATAGTCGCTCACTCCATTATCGAAACAAATAACAAACGTATCAGCTGAACTAGGAATAGTAACGAATTACCTTCAGAATGGTCTGAAACGAAAAGAATTATAGTTAAAAAGATGTTAAAATAAAAAACCCGAAATCCGATTTCTAGTCATATATTTAGAATAAAGTATACTATGGTAGGATTTGTTTGTAGTAATATATTTAAAGTAAAAATTATTTCCGATTTCAGTAGCAACCGAAGAAAACTGCCTTAAGTGTAAACTTTTTGAAAATTCAGATAATTTAGGTGAAATTTCACCCCTGGGCATCCTTCCAGCTGTCCATGATCTTCCAGTCAAATATTTTTGAGCTTTTAATTAGATCTTAGTTACTGATAAAAGTTTGTAAGTTATTAGCAAAGTAATAATAAGTAGAAAAGAATTATCAGACTAAAACGTAAACAGAGAGAGGGTGATGTTCCTTTGTTAGTTAAAATGAAGAATATTTAGAACAATAGTTTTTCAATAATCACTGGATGACTCAATGATTTCCTACATATTTTGATGATGATGTTGAAAGTAATTGATAGAGGCTGTAGCAAAGTTCCAAATACGTGTGAACGACGATGTAGTAAATGCACTCGTTGATATACTCACGATTAGATATAAGAGAATAAAGATGGTATACAATCATTTCATTTTTATATTGTTTGAAAATGATATATGATATCAGGAAAACACTTTAATTTGAAATAAACGTCTTTTTATTGTTTAGTCTATGATGATGTACACTAGTACACAAAAAAATATATCTTACTCGGCCACTGCGATAATTGTTAACATTTTCATTCACTTATGTCCATCAGTTTTACGAATAATTTGTCAAATTGTTTTCTTACAATTGATGATGGAACAACTTTCAAATGAATACATATTAATTCAAAACAATTTATTGATGAATTTGGCCAATTAACTTTTGCCATTTCTCTGTGATCAAATATAAACCGATATAAAACAATATTTTATTAAAAAGTTAACACAAACCGATAGAAATCATTGTGTAAGCAACCAGGAGGTTGTAAACTAAAGTAAGATTGATGTAAACGGAGTGTATCGTTCTGAAATCTAGAAATATATAGTATTTCACGTATCATTCTCAATTTTAACATACATTATTTTCTTCCATCCATAGAGTGTAATTATATGTAAAATGATCATCAGCTACGGTATAGGATGTATAACCATTCTGTAGTTGTTTAAGACATTCTAATTCAAAATCATGAATCTAGAAATATATATATTAAAAATAATCTCCTAATACATTAAATAACAGATTATTTGTATTTATTACTTTTTGATAGGCTAATTTTGTTGAATTTGATGATACTTCAACGTGTTCACTTGTCCATGTTTGCATTAATGCTGGTGTACATATGATACCACGTTTTCTATCGGTAAACACAAAATGAGCAAGACCCGGAAATTCATTGTAACAACTGTTTGTTAAAGAAAACAAGTTTTCTTTTTTATCTTTAACTGAATTATTATTTATTAACAATTTTTCATTAAAAAGGATACAAACTCATGGTAATATTTCGTTGTGCTTTGACTTCTATAAAACTGAAACAATCTTGTAATTGTTTCGTTAATTTGTATTTAATATTTGCTGTTATTTCTGAATATGCACCAAAATTAAAAATTGGTTGATTTTTTATACGTGACCGTCCAGTATCATCATTATCTAATGTATCAGTAAAAATAGGTTCCATTTGTAATACTTCCTTATTTTTATCATCCGTAATCAAATATTCATTTGAATCAAAAAATAAATCGCGAAATAATTTTGTAGCCGTACGACTTATGTGAGTCAAATGTGGCGTTATTCGCTCACTAAAATAATTTAACTTTCATTTATTTGTGTGTGTGAGACTGAAATTTACGTACTATGTAGCTGAAACAACAGTATTATTCAATATTTGAGTAAATAATGTATTCAACTTTTCGGACATGAGTACCGATTGTGTTCTGGATGCTTCAAGCTAATGAATTGAAATGTGTGTAGATAACAAATTTAATATATAAGATCTACCGCATTAAACATACATTTTTTTTTACAATATCATAACCTTCAATAACTCGAACAAGATAGGCCATCTGATCCAATAATTTTGATTCTGGGATAATTTGTTGTAAAATACAACCATCTACTAAACTGGTTAGTTCATACAAATTTGTTGATAAGGCCGATGTTTTCCACTAGATAAAAGATCAATTTGACAGTTCATAGGAGATGGTACAATAGGAATACGATGATATTTACTTCTATTAAGGATAATACACTTATTTCATTTGTCAACGGTATTGTTAATAACATAAATGGTGCACAATTACTTTTTGTCGTTTTTAAAAAGACCGTTTCTGAGCCATGTAATTTATACGCATTTTCAAAATGAATTATTGGCACAGATTTTGACTAAAATTGATTAGTGATATGTAAAAAACAACAAAAACAACAATAACTTTTAAACATACTCGTTGCGGTACATTTGGAATTAAAGTACCAAGTGTGCTGTCGGTAGTATCGTGCGAGAAGGATGCTCTTATGTTCTATATCAAGATAAATGTAATTAAATATCTAATATAGAATTATCCTATGTTCACTAGTATATACCGATGATGTGCCTTTCGTCAAAGTTTCATCTTTCCATTTGTACTTATGAGCAATGACGGCACTATCCTTTAACTCTGTAAATTGACTTCTAATTTGACGACTAGAGTTATTTAATAGTAATAAAAATAAATCAGCAGAACTTGGACGACACCAATCAGAGCTAAAAGAAAACAAAAAATTTAACTTTATATTAACAAATATAAAATATTATTAACATACCTCGTTTGAAAATAGACAATTTTATCTCTACAACATATAATCATAATTGATGGTTGTGTCTCTAACCATAATTGAATTTCTTTGGCTAATAAAATGAATGATTCTACACAATGTTGTTTCACTAATGAATTCATATATAAATATTCACAACTCTAAAAATTTAAATGAGAAAAATCATGAATATTAGTTAATTATAAATTGTACTTCAAATAAATAAGCTTGATTTGAATTAATATCATTGAGAAATAGTTGTATAGCTGCTGATATTCGAACTGATATTAAATCTCCAATGATTGGTTCATTATTCGATTTACTAAATATTATATAGAATACATACACAATTTAATTTTAATATATTATAAAAACTAACTTGAATGGAAGTACGCCAAGATGAAATTTAATTAGAGCTAATAATAAATTAATTACTTTTTGTATAATAATAGTGTCAAATGATGAATCAGCCATACACAAAATAGTGTCATATTTTAACTAAAATGAAACAAATAAAAAGTGAATGATTTTTCTAAAGTAAAATTAGATACCCGTTCAAAAAATATTTGAATTCCAGAGTCAAGTGTAACTGAATGTAGTGGATTATTTCTCTCTTGTGTTTGATCATATGAATTAATGAGTACCGCTAATTGTAGAGAAATGATATCATCAAATTGCATTAAATTTTCTTCTCCTCCATTATCATATCCCGATTCATTCTAAATTTTAAACACATGTATAGTTTTTAAATAAAAACAAATAAATTAACATAATTAAAACACACTTGAGTATAACGTGTACTGAAACATTGTTGCAAATAGACAAGAAGATCATCCGTGATAAAACGGTATACAACGGTTCTATTAGTGCCAAAAATAAATAAACCAAATAAACGTTTCATGTTTTGAAAATGATAATAACGTAATAAACGTTTGTTTTCGTTTGATAGTAAATGATGTCACCTGTAAACTATGTGATCTGATAACAGCAGTACTCTCTATATTTATTTTTTAAAAAAAAAAATGTTTTAGACGTTGTTTTTATGTAATAATTTAATTTGATGAATAAAATTATTTTTTTTGATGATACAAGTGAATAGCGATAAACTTGCTGAATGAAATACTTTTTAGGCTTATCTACCGTTATTTTACAAACACTTTTCTAGGTACGAGGAACGCAGAAAAAACGGATTTATGTTCTAGTTTTATTTTGATCATAGAAGAATAGTTTTATGCAGAATGGGGGACGTTTTTTCACTTAAATTATGATTTTCATGATCGAGTAACATATAAAACTAATTATTCAAAAGACCTTCCGAGTAGATCTCTACTCTTATTTATGCAGTCCAAGATGACTCTGTTGCATGTATACATATTTGTATGAATTACGTTGCTAAGTATGTTACCTCAATCGATGATCACATCGTAACTACTGTATGTTACAAAGATAAGGCACGTGACTATTTTTAAAATATATTAGGGGGAGCGGATCATTATATGCATTTTATTTAGAAGGCTTTATACTGACGAAAATAATAGCAAGAATAAACAAAATAATGAAAATTAATAGATGAATAACAATCTCTTTTGGAAATCTGCTGAGACGTTGATAATGATCGTCGTAGAGCATAACTTGTATTTCAGTAAGTTGAATATTTTCTCTTCGCACTGCAGCCGCAATAACTGCTGGATCGATAAGGGCAGCAAGGACTCCAGTGAGAACTGTGGCGTTCACAGGGATGGTGTAAAATCTATTAATCATACCACCGAGCTGTCCTCGTTGCACTTGTCTCATAAGATCTGGATTAATAAGAACTCGATTGAATCTAAAGATGGCAATGTTGTAGATGGATAATGCAATATAAAGAACGGAGAGTACAAATGGAATGGCAGCGTATCCTTTTGTGTAAATGCTTGCGATGCCAAAACCGAAACAGAGAAGAATGGCAAGTAGCACTATATAACGATATAAGAAAAAATGACCACCACGCATTGAACGCTTGTTTTTCCCGCTCATTTGATGATTAATTTGATTCATATTGCGTACAACATGATTGTAGTTGGCGGGATATGTGTTGCGAATGAATACCTGTATAGTTGTGTCGCGAGGTTGACCCATTTCCATAGTCGTTTCCCGGGTCATAGCCACGAATCCATTGTTCTCTATAGTAGCTACCCCGACGGTGTTCTGTCGATGAAGCTGAGTCGTCATGCCTTCAATTTTTCTTGTCGAGTTGCTTGTGTTGTGTCAAGCTGCGATTCTCTGCTTTATATTGGCATGTGGCATTACTGGAAAAGGCTAATGAATAATCCAATGCGTTGGAGGAGTGAATTAGTTCACAGAAGTGCTGTAGAAGGCATCTATTTATTCTCATTTTTTGGTTTTTTCCCACAAATGATTTTTTTTCCAATTCAGCAAAAATTCAGCACTATGAAAACGATCGCTTGATGAACTGATTTCGCTTGAGGCTTGAGGCAAGAATCTTACAGCTTGGTAATTACCAACAGAATTATACATGTGTACAATACCGAAATAATAATACATAACAAAAAATAATAATAAGACTTCACTATCGAATAAGACAAATTTACCTGTTGTTTGCTTAGTAAAAAAACTGAATAAAATTTTTCTGAATACATCATATTATGTTTAAGGGGCCCCCCCCTCAGAAATGGTGGTTTTCGGTCAACAAATCGGTTTTCAGATATGCACATGGAAAGATAGCCTGAAGTGTCTACTTCCGGAATCTGTATTGGTTTTGGTTACAAAAGTGGTTTTTCGGGGATTTTGAGTAAGTTTTCTAAGAGCCTCGAAAAAACGGGTCTTCAAATAATGGTTTTTTCCTAGATACTAATGCAATTAAAATTTTTCTGAAAACACAGCTTTGTAGAGCAAACGTTTCTGATCAAAATAAGACTTCGCACAACTCTGTATGGTCTTGCGTCAAAAAGTTACAGGCATTTCCCTAGAAGTCCTAAAATCGAGTATTTCATAGAGCGTTTAATATAGCGTTTCCACTATATAAGAGTCACACCTGAAGTGTGTCCCAAGATTTTTAATAGCGGTTTGTCGTAGAGAGTTCATTCTTTTTTTGTTTAAAAGAGGAAAAGAAACTACATCGACTGACCGACGTGGATTTTTGAACTAGGTCTTAGTTTTTTGTCAAACTGAGGATTTTTAGAAAATCTGGAAGGCTTTTTCGGGTTGTGGAGGTTGTTGGTTGCCTGGAAAATCAATAAAGGCTTAATTGAAAAATCGGCGCCGGCCAGTCGATGTAGTTAGGTGTTTAGTTTAAAATAAAACAAACCCGAACTCTTCAGCTTGAAGTATATTAAAAAAGCTTGGGACGGCGTTCAGGGTCCTTTGTCGTCTTAGCACAGTAAAAGGAACGGAACTATTGAACGTTTCCCGTTCGTACGTAAAAGCAGAGTTATTTTCCTTAAAAATATTAGATTTTGGTGATAACGATTTAGAACAATTTAAAATATTGTCAGTCAATTACTTTTCGAGTGCTACAAAACGGCTATCTTTTGTTTGTGTTGTAAAACGAGTACAGCATGTGCCGATTAAAGATTACCCGACTACAGAAATGACTTATTTCTGTTTAGAACTCGTTTCTTCCACACTAGCAATGCAAAATCTCCAGTCCGAATCTACAAAAATGAAGTCCGAGATCGTACTCAAACTTCACCAACTTACAGTCGATGATTTTATTGATTTTTTATCTGCGCCACTACTGACGGTTTTGTTCGTCGATAATCATGTGCTACAGCTGATTTGGCATTACCATGAGGACCGATTTTGGCAATGGTTTTATTTGCTGAAAAGCGGATTCCTGGGTGAATATTTCGAAGTAGAATAGCAGACATCTTACCAATATACACAACAATTACATCATATTTATTTGAATTTGAAACATATATGTGTTTAACAAATCTTTTGTCGATCACTCTATCATGATTAAAACAAGTAAAATGCAAACAATTGTTTCATTTTGTAATTCTATAGAATAAAATTTTTTTGCAATCTAAAACTATGTGCAATCCGGCTGAGTAAAATATTATCTATCACCAAATATTAGCTACCACAGTTATTTAACTACCACATTACATACTGATTAGCGTTTGTCTTGTTAAAGATGTATTTTAGAGCAAAACGACATAGTATAAGGGGAGTGGCATTCGACGTAAAATTAAATTCCCTACATTTTTTACCACTTCGGCTCACGCTGTCTCGGTATCTGACTGAAAATTCGACATATCTTGAAACTGGGGCGACAGATGACTTTTTATTCGTTTTTTAAAATAAACTCATAGAGCTTCCACCGGTTATTTCCTCGTCTTTTGCCAGTTTACCACTAAAAAATTTCCACGTGATTTCATAACTCTACCATAGGCTAAGAACGACTGAAAGACTTTTATAACTCTTCTAACAAACAGGACAAAATGTACATGTCTGACTTACCAAAATTTAGAGCTATTCGCAAGAAAAGGATACTATCGGGAAAATATATGCCTTAGTCGAATCCGAGTCCAACTCGATGCATGCCTACTTTTAAAACTACGCGACGACCGAGCTCACGCTACTGGTACGGCTGTTCTTTGCCAGTGCATATTTAGCCAGCATTATTTAATATCCGCTTTGCTTTTCCTGCAAACTAAAATACAGTAGAAAGATATTGAGCACAGTTTTCAATAATTATCATTAAACTTATTACAATATTTACAATCTTCCTCTACTGTCGATTGATGTGCTACTCTAATATCTACACTACTGAATGCATTGAATTACATTGGAAATGAGGGCATATGGCTTTTAAGCCATCTACGTTCACTGATATGGTCAATCTTCTTACGTGGAACATAAGTATATGTTTTTTATTTAATGTATACTTCGTAAATGTATTTTCATTGCACATTACATATCGATGATAATTTACTTATCAACTGTTTTGATACAAAATTAAATTTTGAATTATTCACAAAAATGCTAGAGCGTTACATCCCATTAGAGGAATCCTATTGTACACTTTGTAGCTAGCCTGGCAATTAGATTATTAGATTGATTTCTGATTCAGTGATGTATACATGTGGTATATAAAGTGAATAAATAATAAATAAAGTCAGTCTATAATAGTGAATAAATTACCAGGCCTTTTTTTAAGTTAATCCAAATTTTTAGAATTCACAACAAACAAATGAAACATTCATGTTAATTCAAACAGAGGAGTGCACCTTCAAAACCAGCTTTTAAAGTTAATTTCAGAATGGAAGTGGATCCAATGTGGCTAGACCTTGAAAAAATCACGAAAATGTGAAGAATAGCTAGAAACCACATAAAAAACTTAGTGTGATAGTGGTATATCACGTTTGCATTTTCGATTACACGTCGCACAAAATATTTTACAGCACAAATAAAAATATACGAATGAGTACATACAACTCTATTATAAAGAATTCATGAATCAAAAATTTATTAGAAGAAATGGCACGATGTGTTTGACAATGGGAACATGCCATATCGTTATAGTTGAACAATTGCCAATTAACTAAATACGACTTTTTTTTTGTAAAATTTGAATTGAGAAAAACTGTATAGTTAAAGATCGATTAATGAATTGGCTCTTGTATTGAAACGTGACACCTTTAAGCCCCTCTCCATTGAAAATGACATTCGCCTTATGTTTCTTTTTTGTAAAAAAAACAACAAAAGTTGATTACAACAACGATAGAAATATTGTTAACAGCAACCGGTTTGTTTTTTCTCTGTTTCTTCTCTTTGTTATTTTCAAACATATTATAACAATTTTTGCTATAAAGGATCTCTCATTGTTCGTTAACAAACGACGAATGTCTGTTTCTTTTTAAAAAAACAGGCATGAAAATTTTGTTTCAAAACATGTGGTTTTTTTTCCTCTAGTTTACTCTTTTATTGCTTGCTACTGTTCAAGAAACGAACGTCAAAAAAAAAAAATTCAGTAAAAAAATCAAATATAACGTGATGTTTTAATTTTTTTTTTCTAAAAATAAAGAATAAATAAAGCAGAACTGAAAAGAAAAATTTTGTTGCGGTAAATTAAAAATCAAACTTGTATACGGCTTCTATATATATTTACATTCATTGCTAAGTTTCAACAAATTAACAAGGTTTGTTTTTAATTTAAAAATTTTCTTTATAGGAAATAAAATTTATGTTAAACTCATCCCTACTGAATTAATGATAATAATAATTTACATTTATGTTATTTATTTGATTTAAGATGATTTGGACACATGAAATAGATCATTATTCTCAAGAAGATCGTCAACATATATCAAAATTAGAACAACAACTATTACATGAATATCAAGAATTAAAGAGTGATATTGAAGACAATGAATTGAGATATAATTTAATATTTACTCGTCCATTTAGTTCCTATTTATTACCAAAAGATCCTCAACATTTAGCAAAAGAACGACGTATATTTCTTGAACGTTTATCACATGTAGAAACAAGTCCAAATATTCAGTTTTTAAGCGATGAAATAAGAGAAGAATTAGACTCAGCTACGAATAGTGATTATACTGCTGAATCATTATCAATATTATTACATGAATATTATTTAAAACGTTTATCATCATTAACATATGCTAAAACATTACATTGTGTTCGATGGAAACGTTTTTGTCGATATTATACAAATTTTGATCATGTTCAAAAACAATTTAAATTACGATCAAATCGTATTTTAGCTGAATTTAACGATGCATTACAACGAACACAACGATTACGTAGTGTTCGAGAAAGTTTATTATCATCATCAGCAACAGCAAAACAAACTCAACAGTTATTAATAGCTGATGATTATATTTCATTTGTTCGTCAACTTGTTTGTCAATATCGTGGTTCAAAATATTTTGATCAATTTACACAATTAATACGTTTATCACATTTAAAATTTCGAACAAAATTATCATCAGAACAAACAGATATAATTAATCTTGAACCACCATCAATGCAAAATTTATCCTTTACATTTCCATCTTCTGTTCATACAAAATCATCTAATTTAACAATATTAAATGCAAATAAATTACCAACAATTGATATTGAACAAAAACAAACACTGGAAAAATTAAAACCATTATTAAAACAATACAGTATACCCTATGATATTGATAAAATAAAAACAATGGGCGATGAAATGGAACTTTATGCAACAATTATTAGACATTTTCGTACACTCTTTTATAAACAAGAACAAGAAATTCCACGTTTTAAATATGATTCGGCACCGGCAAATATTATGAATATGTCACGACAATCATCAGTCTATAAACTATTAAAATCATCACCATGGACAAAATTTATTGATATTTATCCGGAAAAATCACCACAAGTTGAAAGAGATTATTGTCGATATAAAATTCGATCAAATACAAATGCAAAAAATGATGAATTATTAAAAATGATATCAAAATTTGTTCGTGTACATAATGCTGATAAAGCCACAAATGTTTTAAAACAATATTTAATTGCAGTTAAAACAAAACAAAATGGAGCTATTCAAAGATTAGTTCAAAATGCTAGTGGTCAAAGTGCAATTGCCGATATTTTTTGGAGAAATATATTTGAAGTTACAAAAGATCAAAATAATAATAATGATGATGATAATCAAACTGATGAAATTGAAGGTAGGAAAACATAAAATTTTGATATAAGACGTATATTAAAATAATATATTTTCTGTTGTTTTTTTTCTAATAGATGATGGAAATTTTCATGATGATGATGCAAAATCGGCTCGATATATGAAACGAGATGAATTTAATTATACGGAAACACTTCAAAAATTAGGTCTCGATGATACTGGTATGCATGATGATAATGAAGATGATGCATCAGAATCATACGGTTTACAATTATCATTTATAACATTACGTTTATTAAGAATTCGTGAACTTCGAACACAATGTTTACATGAATATAATTATATTCGTTCTCTTCAACGTACTATGACTATTTATGAACAACATTTAACAATTATACCTGAAAATAAAAAATCATCAAAAAGTGAAGAATTACGTTCAATTGATGCTCGTTTTGGTTCAAGAAAAATACCACATACGTATTTATTTGATGCACCAGATCAGTGTACCATTGATGATCTAAATTTTATGGAATCAGGAGAGGAAACAGAAAATTTTGAAGATTTTTTTCATTTTGATGATAATAATGATAATTGTGTTCATGTACAAGATCCATTAGGTTTTCATATTATTTATGATTGTGCCATAGATGATGTACAACAATTAGAAGATGAAATTATTTCTATTGGTTCATATTTTATTGAAAAAGAATGTGTTTTACATCCACCATCGTCTGATGGTAGTAGTATTGATTATACACGAAAAATTGATCGTTTCGAAGTACTATGTAATCTATGGGAATTAGAACAAAAATATTTATATTATAAACGTCAATTATTAGATTGTTACTATGAAGTTTATCAACATACATTTGATGCAAATGAACGAAAATGTTTATCAAAGATAATAACAGATATTGTAGCAATGAGACCAAAAATTGATTTTAAAAATAGTTCATATTTTATTCAATCATATAATATTGAAATAAGAATATTAATTGTTAAATTAAAAATTTTAAAAGAATATATTAATCGACATGTTCGAGATATGCGTCTAATGTGTGATAATTTAATTGAAACAGAATCAGAAGATTATGGTTCATATTTATCAACTGGAATAAAAAAACCTAAACCACCTTCAATCTTTCTGAGTGCATCAAAAATACGAAATTATTATTTATTTGAATATATTGAATCATTATCATCGATTAGTCGAATACCATCAATACTTACACAAACTATCAATGAACTTCTTTATTTTGAACAAATACAAAATCGTACACAAAATACAACTATTTATCAATTATTATATGAATTAGAATATATGGATTATTTATATACGACTTATTCAACTTTAGAAAAACCTGGTCATACATTTTCACAAGCAAATCAACGAGATATATTTAATTCAGTGTATAGTGAAAATCCACAAGTTGTAGCACAATTAGCCACAGAAATATTAAAACAAATTGATGATACACGAACAACAAAAAAAGAACAATATGATAAATTCACTAAATTAAGTACTCAATTAATTGATATAATTAATCTAAGATATCGTTTAGTTAAATCTGCTAGTGAATGTGAAATACTTACAATGATTTATAAACAACAAACTGATGTAATGAATATTGATCATTCACATTTATATATGCGTTATATTCAATTTGAATTTGCCCAACAAAAAAATATTACAATTACATCTGCAACAGAAACATCTGATGGACGATTGGATAAAATAACACAACAAAACATGTTATTTGCTATTCAAGAATTAGAAGAAGGACAAATAGGACGAATTAATTTTCGAAATAAAGAACAATGGCAATCATATATAAATGATGGAGAAGATGCGGTGGCAAACTTAAGAGCAGCATTAAAAGCACAATTAATTCATAATAATTGTGTCCACATAGCTATCTATCAACATCGTTTAGCTATTATATGCATAACAAATCAACTATCAACAATGAAAATGCGTGCCAATTCAGCAATGACACCAGTTGAAGAAAACAAAACTGGCCGAACGCATATTAATACAGGTTTGATTTTTTAACATTTCGTTGTTTATCGCCAAAGCACTGGGTGCAATAAGAACGAGGATCGGCCCCATTTCAGATCTTCTCGACAGGGATCTAGAATGAAAGAGCATACAATTTTATCGAGTTCTACACCCTTGGTTTCCCTTCGGACCTCATATCTCTCAGAAAATCGAACAGCTTTGAATAATAGCTCCACGAGCCCATTCCGAGGCGTTTTTCATAATTTTCCCAGAACACAACAAGTTTGAAGGAAAGTCTTATATAACATTCGATGCAGCTTTAAACGGTGAACAAAACTATCTATTGCTCAATTGTTATATACACCGCGAACACCCACGTTTTTGGAATATTACTGTTAAAATGACCATTTCAGGATAGTCCACGATAGTCGGACTCCGGGGCTAGCATAACGTTTCTTCATCGAAATGTATAGAACTCGACGCGCTCTTTCATTTGATACCAAGTTCAAGGTTCTACGTTTGGGAAATGTGATCAGCAGACGTTCTACAAGTTAGATCAAATCCGCTAGAAAATGTATTTTGCCGCTGTGAGGGTAAAATGGCTATAACGTTTTTTCTAACAAGGCTAGAGACTTGCGGTTTTCACCATTTGGTTCAGCTTGCTGAGCTCTATAATATGAGGCAGGTCTCGTCACTGACATCAAAGGTCGATGTAAATGGCCGAAAATACCACTTTGCAGTCGTAATATCCGAAAAAATGAGCGTCCGCACTTTCTACTAGAAATGAAATACCGGCCATTTTGTAGAGTTTTGAAATAGCTTTCTTTTGATATATAATGTAGACCGCAATCTAGATTCTTTCATGGTGAGAAAGTTGAAATACTATCGTGAACTATCCTGAAATGGTCATTTTAACAGTAATATTCCAAAAACGTGGGTGTTCGCGGTGTATATAACAATTGAGCAATAGATAGTTTTGTTCACCGTTTGAAGGTGCATCGAATGTTATATAAGACTTTCCTTCAAACTTGTTGTATTCTGGGAAAATTAGTCGGTCGAACGATGTGTGTCGCGAAATTTTTGGATTACTTTTATTTCTGAGGGACAAGCTTGACTTTCTTCATGCAAAAATCAAGGTTTCAGAAAAAAAGCTCTAGGCTACTTTGTTCGACTCAGCTTTGACGCTGATTCGAAATATAATTTTGATATTGTGAAAAAAATCCAATTTTGGCGGTGAAAACGGCAAAATATACTACTCTATTGTTCTATAGGCAAAAATTTGTTTCTGAGATGTTTACCATTTTTTAAGACTCTGTGCATTACTAACATAAAGAAATACTGTTCGGTCTGCTACTCCAGCACTGAACTTTTTTCAACTAAAAGTAGTTGAAGCAACTTATTCTGAAACGTTTTATAGAGAAATAATACGGCCTTCACTTTATAAAATTATCTCATTTGGACCGATTTTACTATCCTATCATCCTTTAAGAAAAAACTTGTACAAAAGAATGTACAAAAAAAACACTACGTGTCCGCATGGCAAGCTATAATTGCTCACCATCCTAGAGAACTCAATTACTTTTTAATAAAGGCAAAGCAAAAAAAGTTTAGCTGGTCCCCGTCTCTTTTTTTCAAGTACAAAAGTTCCTAGAGTATTATATTTTTTAGCTGCACAATCAAAAACATTATTGAACAGTGTCCTCTACGAGAATCAACGACGAAAATTATTTCGTGATTATTTTGTGTCGATTCAATTTGAAAAGACACCGTGTCGTGATCAAATTTTGAACGATTTTTTGAAACAGCGTGAATTGAAACCCTTGCAATATCAACAACCACGTGAATCAGAAAAATTGAAGCGAAGTTTAATACATGAGTTTGTTGATCGTGTTCATGCAAGGATTAGTGTGATATCAACTCGAATGCAACTACTATATGTATATAATGGACTTAGACAGATAATAGATGAATTTCCATTAACTGCGAGAACACATTTTATGTGGGGCAAAGATCCAGTCGTTGAAAATCCAGACGAAAAGATCACAGCAAAATTAGCATCATCACCAACGGTTCCAGAAACACTGCAGTCACAATCAACATTAGCAAAACCGACATCAAACGGTTATACAAGTCGATTAGAACAATTATTTAATAATGATGGTACTAAATTAGTAAATCTTTGGTATATACCAACATCGAGTGAAATTTTAAATATGTTCCGAAATTTATATCCGGATGTGGATCAAGTTCGAGAGCGCCTAAGAGATGCTGTGAGAATTGTCTCATCGTTAAATGATCTTATTCACGTCACCGTTGCCTATGCATTGTTGAATAATGCAGCAGCTAGTTCAGATCAAAGATGTAAGAATATTCACTGTAGAATAAATATGTATGGACTGTGCAAATTCTCTAGAGACGCTGAAGAATCTAAGAGTGACAACTAGATCTGTTACTTTAGTGCTACTTTTACTAATAATAATACTAGTAAATTAACACTTCGAGTGAAAACTAATATTAGGCAATGGTTAACCGTACTTCATTTTTAGTGGTCGATCGAAGTTTGGATCTTAGTATGTTTGATCAAAGTGGCCAGTTTGCTTCTGAACTTCATGAAATTCAACGTGAAATGGATCTTCTAATCGAAAATGGTGTGACAAATGACAATTATCAACAGCAACAACAATTAAATACAACATTAGTGGCCGATTTACTGGAGACAAAACGAAGTTTGACATTATTTCAATTTTATTTTGCTGGAGGTTATTTAATACCAAAAGCATTTTTAACAGCAAAAAATAATGAGGCATTTGAATGTGTTCGTTCAAATTCTCAACATATTCTACATTATCTTGTAAATGATTTTTCTTCTACAAAACCTTATTATGTACTATTACCCGATCCTCTGATTCCTGCTCAACCTCTATCTACTAAATTATTTCCATGGACAACCTATGAATATAAATATAATGTTAATTCGAAAAAACTTTGGCCATTTTACAGTTTAATTGGATGGTTAAATGTTTGTCTAATTAATTTAAGACCAAATGAACTCACAACAGCCAATGCTGAAATAACCTATGCTCATGTGATGTTTCAAGAAACAGATGAGATTATGAAACACCGTTATACTGAACCCATCGTACTCAGAAAAACAATGCTAAAAACGGGAAATATAAAACATCCATTGTTAAATAAATATCATCTAGCAGAGCTATATATCATTGCTTATATTCGTCTTGAAATTTTAAGACGAGCATGGAGTACTGGAAAATTGAACGTTAGTGATATTACAAATGTAAAATCATTTGAAGAATCGGCCATGAGTTTTCGTGACGAAATTTTATCACCTATTCTACGACAATTAGCAACTGTTGTGGGTGAAGGAAGCTTTTATGATAATTTTGAAAATGCATTATATACTGGACAATTACCTACGAATGTAACCGAATACGATTGTAAACAAGCATTAGTTGCACGTTTACTAGTCGAAATTGAAAAACATATGATTAATGATACAATAAAACGATTTAAACGAGAAAGAACTCTTGTAATAGCAGAACGAAATAGAGAAGAAGCCAATTTACCAAGTGATTTATGGAAAAAACAAAATTATACAGAAGGTTTCAATATTAGTAGACCACATATTCTAGACGAATTTGGAAAATTAATTACTCAATATGCTCTAAATGACGTATTCACTAATAGTATTTCGGATACTAACAATTTGAATGATGTAAAAATGGATAGTCAGTCTATTGTAGAAGAGTCAAATATGATCACATTTGATGATGGTAAATAATTTGTTAATATAAAATATAAAAGTTAATAAATTATTTTTATTTCTAGATCAACAATCGACAAATGAGTCCGTAACTGTTGTGTCACATAAATATGACGATACTCTACTTCAAATACGTAAATCTGATTTTGAACTATGTTTGAAACAATTAGGAAATCGAATTATGCAACGTGAACACGATAACTATATCAATTATAGTTCATATTATGAAAGTTTACTATATCATGCAAGACAATTATTACAAACACGTGAAAATGAAATTGATTCATTGAAATTACAATTAACAAAGCAACATTACGATAATGAAATTGAATCACAACTGTTAACATTACAATCATATTATGAACTTGTTGCTGAAATAATAAAATTACGATCAGCACATGATCAATTACTATTAGAACAACGAAAAAAAATTCATGAAACAACATTGAAGATAAGAGAAAATTATATGAAGGTTAATAAACAATTGTTGAATACAAATTTAATATTAAGACAAAAATTTGAAAAATATCGTGAACATTTATATAATTCTGTTGTCAAAATTATCTCACAAGTTAAAATTGATATGTATGAAATGGCACGAACAAAATTAGGTAAAGATGGACAATCTATAATTGAACAACAACATAATGAACAAACAAAACTTACTAATAGTTTACAAAACGAATTGTATGAAACAAAGCAACGTTCAATAAACGAGTAAATAAATAAGAATTTTTTTCAAAAAGACAAAATTATTCTTTAATTAATTTTTTTTTTTTTTTTTATAGAAAAAAAAGAATCGAAGATGAATGGTCAACGGAACTTTCTAAAACTCAAAAAGAATTACAACAAACCAAATATCGTTTTGAACGATATCAAAAACATTATACACGTAAAACGAAACAATATTGTGAAGAATTACATACAATGAAAAAAATCAATAATTATTTGAGAAAAAAAATTATGCTCAATGATAACTTATATAGACAGTTAAAAGAAAAGAAATCTAAATTGGACAATGAACACTCTGTTGAACGACACGATGAATTACGACAAGCATTAAATCAAAAACAATTAATTGAAACAAAATTAAAGTATATGGAAAAGGTAACTGAACAATTAAGTTTGAAAGATAATGAACTTGAGAAGAAAACAACTGAATATGAAAAAGAAAATCAAGTCATGAAACAAACGGCTAATTATGTTAAACGTGATATTGTCCACTTACGAAAACAGTTAGAAACAGAACGTTCGTTAAAATTCGACGCATTTCAAAAAGTTGAAACATTAAAAACAAATCTAGAAGATTTAGAAGAAGAATTAGAACAAATAATTGTTAATGATGAACAAATACGAGCTGGTGGTAGCAGTATAGTAAGTGGTCCTGCAAAATTTTTATCAACATCTCGGCCATCGACACCATGGATAACGATTGATCGTGAAAGAGAACCAAATTGGCAACAAATTATGACAAAAACACGACCAGTCACATCATCTTCTTTTTCAAGAAATACAAATAAACAACAACGACTCGTCGGAAGAGTATGTTATTCATCAACAAGTCGAAGACCACAAACAGCAAATGTACAAAATATTATAGAAAATATAACTCCGTTAACCGAAGAAATTCTTTCAAATCTCGGTACACAATCAGCAACGCAATCATTGCAAAAAGTTCGAATAAGAAGTGCAAAAGCGTGAATAGAATAGAGCCTAAATAAAAGTTTCTATTTTCCTTAAACGGCCAAAAATTTTTATACTTTATGTTCTGGTTTAACAGAAAACGGTTTGTATTTATTTGTCAGTCCAACAAGTCCACAATTCCCTCGGATGATACAATTTGATTGACTCAGACTCAAACACTTGAGTATGTAATCTGTGTTCAACATTTCTGGCAAATAACTCTAAAATGGTCTATATCACAGATGTCGAATGACATTTGATAATGCGATGTTGACGAAAGATGTACTTCTACAGCGCTGAAACCATTATTTTTCAATTTTTTTTACTACCAAGTAGACTTAAATATACTCAATAGCAAGACTCGAACTGTCTTGAATTTATTACATTCGTTAAATACATCAGCTTGTATCAGGCATGGGCGAGTTCGAGTCCGGACTGGAAGATTTTTTGGCGGACTCGAACTCAGAGTTGAGTTTTTGTATTTCGAGTCCGATCTATTCAACTTTTAACACAAATGAACAGAGAAAACTGAAAAGCGAAATAATAACATCTTCTGTTTCACAAGAAATTGAAAATTTTGTTCGGGAGACGAACATGCAAAGTAACCTTATTTTCCAAAAATCAAATATCTATCCAGGGCTCAGCAATTAAAAAAGAGAAATAAATCATCCTCGTCAAAAAAGAATCTAAAAGATTATCGGACTCGAAATGGACTTGGGACTCGGACTCGGTACCCCCTCGGACTCGCCCATGCCTGGCTTGTATATATTTCAGGTATTTTCTCTACTGGTTTCATAATGGAAAATAATGAACTGCCAATTTTCTGTAATAGTAGACAAACTGCTGAGTTATTAATTGTTTATTTTTAACAAATAATAATTGTACAGAAATTAAGCAAACCAAAAAAAATCTCAGTAAACAAACGACCAAATTTCTTCGTTCAATACACCACACTAAAGACAAAACGTATTTGTTTCTCATAAAATAATCACCTAAATCATTATTTTTTATTCTTTCATGAAAATGAAAAAAAAAGATTTAGCTTCTAATCTACTTGTTTATATATTCAGAAAAAAAATTTCATTTTCAATTACTAATTTTATATAGTGCAATTCATTCAACCGCATACCTTCTCTAACAAACGTCTCTCAATATACAAACATAAGTATCTTTTGGTTAAGACGACAAAGTACAAGTGACGTTCAACACACAACAAAATAAATTATCATCTTCTTTAGAGCGTTATATCTTTACTTTGTTCGACCTGCTGTGTTTGAACCTCGATGCCGACAAGCCATCTGTTAATCTTAGACAAGTTATTTTATGTTCATGCGACTCGAATCATATCACAGAGTGTTACCTGAGACTGTCACATACGGTCCCATGTCACTATTTACCACTCATCAAAACTCATCTTTTTTGTCTCTTCATTTTGATTATTTTCTAAAAGTTTATTTCAGTTGTAAAATTCTTGAATTTTGTCTTTTATTGGTCAACAATCATTTTTATGGTCTTTTATTTTAATATTTGAAATTCTTCTAGTAGAATAACTTCTCATGTTTTTTTAAAACATGTGCGTTTTGTACATGTTATGTACAAGTACATCGAGAGAAAAAGTCTCATGGGAAATACTAATTTATTGGTCAAAAGAAGCCCTCAACACAAGATTAAGACATTTTGGGATATTTTTAGATTTTTGCATCTGGGACCTATACAAAATTTTTTGAAAATAGTCCAGCACCCTGATTAAACTTGAGCTACGCACATTTTATTTAAATTGTTTTCATTAAATACTAGTATTATACCGATTTACGTTTATACAGATATCAAAAACAGTCGAAAAAGGAAAAAATTATGTTTGATTCTACTTGTAATGTTTCAGAAGGAAAGCAACAGTTAAGGCTAGAACTTTGGGACTATTTCTAACTCGCATACGACTAGTATTGGTTGAGTTTTGTCAAAATTTGAGATGGAATTCTGTGTTTTCTTCTGCAACATAAGATACAATAAAAAGTCATAGAGGCCATCATTGTACCTTATTTTGACTAGTAGCAACAACATTCATTGACTCGTGGAAGATGTTGATTCGTCAAATAATCAAATAGTTACTGAATCATAATATAAATTGTGATCAATCGCATTATTATAGATGCCACTGTGAGGTTTATTTTATTGTATGAGAATTTCCTGGTTGTGGTATAAAATCACTTAAAAACATTACACTATTCATCATAACCCTCTTTTCCTTTCATTTTTCTTCTAAAATATTCACCTTTAAATTTTTTACATTGCATCACCGTAAAACTTAACATCGGAAGAGTAAGTGGCCATGCCGTTCACTTTTCTGTATTGTACATTCAGAAAAGTGGATGAATTTTCGTTGTTTATCATCCGTCGCCCACTTTAGTAGATCAAAACTGTTGTTCTTCTAGGTGATCGGTCATCCACTCTTGTAGATAGTGCCACCTATAAGCGTGGATGATCTGTCCCCTAAAAGAACAACAGTTTTGATCTGCTAAAGTGGGCGATGGATGATAAACAACAGAAATTCATCCACTTTTCTGGATGTACAATGCAGAAAAGTGGATGGCATGATCAATCCCTTTTCCGTTTTACAGTGATTAGATGCTGGCTTTCTTTAAAAGTCCGTTTTAGTAACTAATGTAACAGTAACTTTTAACAAGCAAGAAAGAACATAAGAGATTAGAGACATTTTTTTAACTTTACCTGGTCAATAGTTTTTGGCTGAAGTCTCGCTAATAGAGAAGCATCTTTGATTCCTATTGTTGATTCCATTTCTGTAGTTCAGCTTAGTTATGAATGCACTTTTAGTTTTCTAAAAAACACCTTTGTAGGGCTTCCATGTTATCGTGATAGCATTTATTGGTCTAACAAAAATACAATCGATTTTTCTTTCTTTCTATTCCTCTACCTTTCTTTGCGTTGTGTGTGTGTGTGTTTGTTCTTGGATAATATGCGCACATAAGAAAAAGTATTATGTGAACTAAATAATAACAACAAACTGTGGAAGTTTATCGCGACTCGTCAAAAATAGTCTCGGTTAAATGACTGATAACATGAGGCGCATTTTTTTACACTCACAACATAATTTTTTTTTTCAAAAGTTCGCCGATTTTCTTGTTTACCTGTATTTTAAATAGTTCTTGTGTCTAACTCTTCTGTCCTTGACAGAGATGTGCACACGTATAGTTGGCTTAAAAGTATATTTAGTAACATATATGACGGTTGATTTCTGAAGTAAGATAGTAGATTGTTAGCGACATACCCTTTACATAATTGTACATCGACAGATACTGTGCGAGACGCGCATAAAGAAAACTTATTTATATCATCTTTTAGTATAGTTTACAGAGAAGGCTCATTCAAATAAATTCAATAGTATTTTTTCGTTGTTTCGAGGAGTTTCTTTTTCTATTTTATATTATTTACGTCTAACATAGGCAGACGAGATGTTTTCTTCTGTTCTATGTTTAATTATTAATTTCAACTTTTAGATAGTTGTACGTGCTTAGCGACGTGAGCACGTTTTTTTTAAAGTAAAGGAGGAAAAGCCGTTTAGTGTTCCATCGAGTTAAAATTTTATCAACACCATTATTAAAAAATGAGTGGTCGTACTTGTTACAAATGTCAACAGGCAAGGACGAACATTAAAGAATCTATTATCACTAATTACTTTACCTCTTATTTTTTGTTTAGCCCGGTCATATTGCCAAGGATTGTACGCAACCGGATAGTGCATCAGGTAAGATTGTCCATACCAAATCTTGTTGAATTATAATGTAATATCTTTTGTTTATCTCGCATGAGGTGGTGGTGGTGGTGGCGGTTACGGCCGCGGCGGACGAGGTGGTTATGGAGGAAACAGTAAGTGAAAGTGAAAATTCACCTTGCTTTTTAACTGTTTGGATTGATGATGTTTTATGAATTTCATCTTTTAGGACAAGGAGGTGGATATGGAGGTGGGTCGTCATATAGTAAGATCTACATTTTTTGTTATTCGTTGGTCATGATGTAATTAGAAAATTGATATACTGTGCTTAGGAAGGTTTTGTATTCGTGTTTAGCGATAACTTGAGATATTTTTACTGTCTCGGACGATATTGTTACATGTTCAGATGTATGTTACTTCTATTTTCATTTCAGGTCGTGGTGGCGGCGGTGGTGGCGGATCTAGTTACAGTGGCGGTGGCGGTGGCGGTGGTGGTGGAAGTGGACGATGTTTCCGCTGCAATCAAACCGGTCACTTTGCGCGTGATTGTACGAGTGATAACAATCAAAGTATGTTTTAGACTTTAACTTGTGAGCTATTATCAACTTATTCTCACTCGTCCTTCTTTTACAATATTTAGCTGTCTGTTATAATTGTAATCAACCCGGTCATTTTTCACGCGATTGTACAGAACCAAAATCAACTTCAAATAATAGTTATGGTGGTGGTAGTGGTGGTGGTAAGTAAATTTTTTGTTTAAAACGAATGTTTGTGTGGTAGTCACTCGATCTTTGCGTATACTAATTGGGCGTATTTGAATAATTTAGGTTCCTCGTTTTCCGGTGGACGTAGCGTGTGCTATCGCTGCAATAAACCTGGTATAATATTTTAGATTCTTTGTATTAATTTAAATTGATCTCTTTTTTTTTCTTCTAGGGCATATTGCTCGTGCATGTACGGAAGGTGGTGCTCAATCAAATCGAAATGGTCAAGGTTCGCAACATGAAGACGAAGCTGATTCTTGAGCAACAGCAACATAAAACGAAAGAAAGAACATGAAAAAAATAAACGTAACACTCGATATAAACTTGTTGTATTGTAAACTGCTTTTTTATCGACTGTACATTGAGTATAAGATCATTGAGGGTGTGTTCCGGAAAAAAAAAGAAATATTGTTGGTTGTCGTAGCGGTTTTTTTGTTTTTCTGATTATTTTGGTCTTGTTTGTAAAAAAGGAAAGAGTTTAGAGTGTTTCTACATGAAACAATTGGCGAAAATCAGGTTGGCGCAAAGAGGAAACAATATTAATATCAAAAGAAAAACGAAAATATTTAGAAAAAAAGATCACCTTCAAGGCTCGAACTTCAAATTCACAATTAATATTCAAAAATAGATAGGTGCACCATAAAACACAGTTTTGTGGCAGATTTTGGTATATTAGCCTAGGTAAGAAGAATGAAGTACTATGAAATTTTAGTGCTGGCAACGATTGATTCCAATGTTACAACTTCAATCCTGTGGTCTGGCAGTAAATTCGTTACTCGCATTAGGTTAATGATTTATGGCATTCAGATATTTGTTAAAGGAGAAGCGCATCTTGTTTAGCTCATAAGAACAGATGTGATGAAAATGCACTTACATATTTTGAGAGTCTAGTAAAATAAGTCTGAAAACGTAATTAAGGGAACAATTGATGAAAAAAAGAAACTGAAACTATTATTAATAAGAACAACGGTGATTGTATTGCAATAGTCCCATATCAGAACTCTGGATGATATTCGACAAAACAGCTGGCTGTTGATTCAGTTTTCTAGAAAACTGAATGATTAATCCAGCTATTCTAAACTAGTTGCTCTTAAATAATGAGATAATATTGAAACTCTTCTTTCTGTTTTTAAAAGTGATCAGTTTGCTTTTGCAGATGCTTTCAGTTTTGAAGTTTTATATAAAGAACAACCTGGAAAATGTAATCCACGACGGGAACAAGTATTAATGGCATAGTTGAATTGTTCATCGAGTTTGAAGATATTTTCAAGCACTAGAGACTAAAAAATTTTGCTCATCTAGCCAGAATTGTGCCAGAAAAATGAAATACAGATGATCTTGGATAGTTCTTTTACATGTATGGGTGGTCAATTCAAAAATAGAAAACTGTTGAATAAAAGTAGTGGTAATCGGAATGACGTCAGAAGTCGAAAATATTTTCAAAAGGATCCTCAAATGAAACAAAGCATTTAACTCCTTGAACATCCAGATTGTTCATTTTCCGCTATAGACTGATTGAATTCAAGACTGCTCATCGTAGAAGTATTGAATTTAGCTTTTTAGATTTACTATTCAGATAGTAATGTAATAGTTACTATCACAAGGGTTAGCCTGTTTCATTCTATGTTACTGATACCTGACAATTAAAAGCAAATAGGCAATCGATTTTCTTTTTCAAAAATGAACAGTTAATGTCTTTATCTATTACTATTAACAGCTAATTTCTGTTACATTATATCGTTTAAGAGCCATGATTATAGGTGCAATTTTTTAACATCTTTGAATAACAAGTCACAATATTTAATTAATGCACTTCAACAGATATCTTTCATGTCATTTATTTATTTCAACGGGAAGATTCGAAACGCAACTTGAGGCAATCCTGGTCGCTTAGTCTAAATAACAAAGTTCAACAGTACAAATACATTCAACACATCAAGGAGAATGAGCAAATTAGGCAACGAGGAGCCTAATAGTTTCTGATGCGAAGTTTTTCATGTAAGGGAAATGTAGTATTTCCACACCAATACATTTACTTCTGTCCATTCGATTTACGCATATCTATAAATCTGTCGAGTTTCTGTATACTTTAATAAAATGACGACTATTAGAAAAATGTTGATATTTGCCTTGAAATAATCGTTTTTCCTGTTTGCAGGCGCAGGATCGTCATCGAGCTTTTCACAGAAGTGCTCCAACAACAATTACAGTAGTTTAAGAGATAGTTTCTAAAACAACTGTGTTTACCTAAAAATATTATTTTCATACTTTTTCAATTTTTTTGATGACCGTTAACGGACACTATGTTGAGTTTTGAGCTGAGGGTACACGTTTCGTTACGGAATATTTTTGAAGTGGTACAGTGAGTGCTCGAAAATCTGATGTGATATAGTACAAATATCTCAAGCATTTAAATAGGGATGGATGCGAGTGACTCGAGCGAAAATTCTAGTTGATCGTACATTGTTTAAAATATGGCATATAAAGAATATGCAACCGAACTAACTGCTGGCTAGAAACAAAAAAGATTCCGTTAAGCAAGTGGTACTGGAATGCTCAGGAGTTCACCTTATCAATAATAATGTAAATCATTTGAAAGCCAGTGTTGACAATAAAAGTTGTCTTTTGTAATAAGTCTTGCTTAATTCCTCTTCACTGTATCTCTAACAGACTCTCTTTATTGTAAGAAAAACTTCCAGTCTCAATTAGATGAGATTCGCTCGTTATTAGTGATCCTATGATCAATAACTACTTGCTAGTTATATTTGCCGTTTTCGTTATCCTCTGCAGATTGTTTATTGAAAAGATGATTCTTTCACAACAGAAACACAGTCACAACATTTTCTTGTATAAACGGTTGAATAAGCAAGCTTCTACAATTTGACACATGATGTCATATATTTGCATTTACCGTGTTTTACGTCGAACTGTTTTCCTTAGATCATTGTTTTCAATATTTGTCGACAAAAGATGTTTTATTGTAGGTAGCTTTTTTTCCATAGGATAACGTTGATGCTTTTCATTATTCATATAATCTGCTGCTGCTTTCGCCGAAATATCTCTTGTTATCCACACATTCTTGTAATTATTTAAACGTTTATCTTGAGAATATTGTTGATGATTGAGATATCTTGGTGGTTGATATAAGATGGATGATGTTGAAGGAAGCAATAGAAGAAATATAGTGACAACAAACATCATCTTTGCTTGATCAGGCAGCATGTTCAGCTATAAAAAATGAATATCGTCTTTTGTATATTATTAGATGCCGAAGATACCATGATCTAGTGAAACTTCTTGTAACCAAGATATTGCTGAAAATTTTCGAGAAATTACAAGATACTCAAGATCTTGACCTCTTGGAATTTCTTAAACTTTAGTGTTCTCTGTCAAAATCTTGAATACAAGTTGCATTAACGTAATAGATTAATACGCTAATTAAAAAGTTTAAATAGTTTGTGTGATGATTCGAAGATCAAAATAGCCGATGTTCATTTTAGCGGCGGAACCAGGATTTCGTGCTAGGCAGGGCTCAGTCCATCACTTTTCTGGAGTTTGGTTTGAAGTAGTATTAATAAATTTAAGCTGAGTTTCAGGAAAAATTTTAAAAAACTGTCTAGGCGGGGCTCAGAGCTTTCTAGGCAGAGCTCAGCCCAGTCTAGCCCTGGCGCTCCGCCACTAGTTTATTTACTTGGTCGTTATCTTTTTAAACGCAAGACAGTATCACTAAGTTTTCCAGGTTTTGTGATCGATGTTGCTTTTGAGCTATGAATAATTGCTCTAACACATTAAGAGTTCACACAACACATTAAGAGTTTCTCTTTGTACAATGAATTTTTTAAAATTTAGGTAATTTAATACGAAATGTGAATCAGGTCTAGAAAGGTTTAATGTACTTTTTATTTCATAATTTAAAACTGATTTATCGGTTAAAACGTTTCAACTGCTTACCGCAGTCTTCCTCAATAGTAAACTAATAAAATTAGATCAATTAAAATTCATAGTATATAACATAAACCACATCATACTAAGCTTTAATAATACAATAAAATTAAACTATGTTTTGCTTGATGTACATTTTTCTAACGTGCTCTCTCTTTCTTTCTTCTTTTTTTATCAGACAAAGACTTTTGAATCCAGTGTGAAAGAGGATGAAACATATTTGCATGTAAAGATATAGATGATGGAAAAGTAGACTGGACGATGAAAAACATAATTCTATTTCGAAAAAAATATTGCAGCACCCCCCTTTTCCCCTATTTTAACCTAGAATTTTTTAAGTGCAACCATCCTTCAAGCTCATGAAGTTAACCAGGTTGCCTCGATGTACTAGGATAAATCCGTCAACAGGAAAGGGAGAGTCATAAAAACGAATCAACGTTATTCTTTGTATGTTTTTTCTTATTTGACTCCATAATGCATATGTATCATTTTTCTGTCTATATTCTACTGGATGCTGGTGAACTCCTGTGTATAATATGGATGTGCTCTTAATTGAATACAGATTTTTATCCCTTCACGCTGCTGTTCGTTTTCTAATCATAGGTGCCTATTGCGGACTAATGATTTTGCACTTATTATAACAATTAGTAGCAACGGCGTATACCGATTCTAATTTCTTACACTACTGTCAAAATTGATTAAACAACCTCAGTTGTTTTCCAAGTGCTGAACTAATTTTTAAATTTTGTGTATCTTTCAGTTTGATCTTGTTAGTATGCTCTCTGGCTCTATTCTTAAACAATTCTGTTTCATCTACATATATGTCATCATGAAACGTCTGGACAGATACATAATTAAAAATAAATTTTAAATTATGAAATAAAAGTTATATTAAACATTTCTAAAGTAAATGAAGTCATTGCATAGGCTCTGTATATTCGGTGAGAAACTGAACTTTTTTCTCCTTGCTGTTCTTACTAACGTCTAATTTACATTGTTCTGGTTTTATGTCGGTGTGATCCATATATTTAGTGAACTGCGTTATTATCTGCAGACTCTTTAGTTGCTCGTACGTAGTGGCGTAGTCACCGGGTGGATTTGGGTGGGCTCAGCCCACCCACTAACTGCTTTTTGTCCACCCACTGAAAGTTTTACAATTCACATTACTGTACGAAAACTTCTTATATTTCTATCACTTTGAAAAAATTTGGGGCAACGCCCACCCACTAAGAAAATCCTGGTTACCCCACTACTCGTACGTAGTGCCTTTTCTGTCCGCTATATAGAATAGAGCGTGTAAGTTAAATGTATATATCTCACTCAACGTTTTGATTAAAATTAACTGCAATTTGACGTGTGTTGTGTATTTTTTCGTTCTAACAAATGTATATCTTTTTATGTTCTTTTCTTTCATTATGCGTTTCAGGCATAAAGCCGAGAACGTTTGAACTAAATCGCTCATGTAAATTCCACCTCGGCAGCTAAAAAACTTAATGTCAATAAAAAAAACATTTTTTTAAACTTGTATTATGAGAATTTGGTTTATTTGACACTCGCTAGTAAGCTAAAAGTTTTTCTATTGTCTATAAATCATCCGAGCTAGGAGTGTTCTTTTTACTCGTGCCAATGTACGATGAGTATATTTTAGACTAGGGAATATGCGTAGAATGTGAGAGTTCATTAAGAATAAGATGATCAATGTTTTAATCAGCTTAATCAAGCTCTGTATTCAATGTAACCTCGTGCTGCTCTAATTCCTTTTTTGATCTATTTATCATCCCTTCGCCTCTTTAAGACTGAAATGCATGATAAGTATGGAAAAGGTACGGCTCCTCAAAATGAGTTGAAAGTACTTGTAAACGAGGTTAAGCGTACTTGTATATTATTTATGCTTTGTTAAGTAAGCTATTTTCTAAAACAAGAAGCATAGACTAAAGAACCTCCATTTAGGGTTTAGGAATCGTTTTCGAGAACTTTTCGCTCTTATCCACCGTTTTAGTTCTATAGCTTATTCTTTTTTTGTAGAAAGTAGTTCAATTATTTTAAGAAAAAGTTTGTTAAGTTTGAGAAATGTTTCTATTGAAATCAGTTCTCAATTTCACTCATCAACATTGCTCAGATTATTTTTATCTTATCTGCCTGACAAAGTCGCATCTAAAAGTCCTTCGACATGGAGTAAAGTATTGGGATTTATTTACGATACTTTGGGAGTACAAATCGTTTCGAGAGATAAAATCAAAGAGATAATAACTCTATTAAAAAGTACACTAATTAGCAAGTTTGTGTTTATCATTTAAGTGGTGATTTCTATTGATGTCGAGCTTATTAAAGGCCTAGCTCGCGTACATCCTACACCGGTGGATGTACGCTTCACTGATGTAAGATGTGGCGGTGTAGAATCAATCGCTCAATGATGTTGGGTGCTAGCAAGCTACATGTATCCTCTGGTAAAATCCCTATGAGTTTCCTAACAGGGTCCGAGGCATATCCTGCCGATATCCTACTAAGATTTCGCTTTAATTTCTTAAGATTCTTACAGAATCCTAATGAAATCAGGTATACCCGAAAGTCATAGGATTTTCTAAGTTTCTGTTAGGACCCTAAACAAACTTAAGCGAAATCCTAGTAGGATCCGAGCATTTTAGGATCTTGCTGGGAAGTTATTAGATGGATCCAAAATGTTAGGATTCTGTAAGATTCTAGTAGAAAATAGGCAGAAATGCGTAGAATTTTATCTAGGGTCATATTCATGTGACTTGATACCTTCACTACAGCCGATAATCGAATCTGCTCATCTATCCATCGATAGTTACCAGACCAGAGGACATAGTCCAACGCAGAGAGTTATTTAGCTCAATTGCTTAAGCTACAGGTCTCAATTTCTTACCACGTACTGGCTTTCTGTAGGAACTATATTGTACGCCACAAACTGGGAGGTATGCCGAATAATGTTAAAAAGAAAAATATTAAACGACTAATATTAAAAATCAATTAAATATTTTTCTATCTGAACTAATAAATATTTTTCTTATTGTAAGACAGAAAAATATTTAATTACTTTTCAGAAAAAACAAATATTATAACTGACGATGACGTCAATATTCAAGAAGTGTTTAGTCACATAGAAAAATATTAATTATTTTAAAATAAAGGAAAAATATTTAAATAAAGAAAAATATTGAACTAATATTTAAATAAGATGGAAAAATATTTAATTGATTTTTAATATAAGCCGTTTAATATTTCTCGTTTTACCGTTAGTCTACAGCCCCATACTGGGATGCTCTGAGGCGTTTGAACATAAGTAACTTGCTCAAGATCAGGGGATGACTTGACGACACCGAGGTTCAAACATAGCATCTCGAAACACGCGATGAACAATTTAACATAAAGTCAAACTGTACATTATATTTCCAATATGTAGTAATATTCTTTAATTCAAAATTTTGTTTAAAATCTTCGATACAAAGAATTTCACTAGTATGGAAGCAGTACAAAATGAACGCATTGATTAATCGTTTTAGAAAAAATTTAGAAATGTTCTGAGTTAGACGTACGTCTAATTGTAAAAATTCTATGTGTGTGACTAGTCCTTATACGAGAAACACGCTTTTCCCTAATACATATTCTAAGGGTTTTAGAATAATTGAGTTTTCAACAAAAAAAAATACCTTTTGCTATTGATACTTGAATATAGACGTTTTTTGTATTATTAATCCGAATAGCGATTGATCAGAGTTTTGTCTCACTTGAAAAGAGTATATTTTCGTTCATGTTTATTCTATTATATTTGACAATCGAGAAAAGATTTTTATGGATAGTATCGATAAAACAGGCTGGCTGGTACATGAATAAAATAAATATATTGAAAAAGAAGAATCGTATCCCGAAAGTGTTAGATGTCCTAGCACACACCAACAATGCACGCGTATCCAATAAAAAGTAATGTAAAAAAACTCTGATTACCGTTCAGACACTTAATAGTGGCAATGTTCAGTTCAAGCGCTTTTATATGAACAGTTTCCTCATTTTCATAGAGTAAATCTATATGCGCAGATTTGATTAGTGACGTATATCTGACAGATTTTTTTAATAAACATTTTTATATATTTAATAAGGAAAAATAAAACATTTTGTTCTACTAAATATATATAATAATTCCTAAATCATAGTATTAGTTCATTATCGAAGTAAACATCGTTATCTACTGTCATAAAATTATATAACTGAATAATAACCGTATGTTGCAATTCCACACATATTATTTTTGTTTCGGGCAATCTTAAAATAACCATCCAATCCCCAGTTGGAACCCCAACTATTTCTTACTAGCCAATAATCTCTACCATTGTCTGTTCCGTATCCTACAATAGTAATTGCATGATCAACTTGTTTTGGACAACCAGGAATATCTAGAATATTTTGTGTATTTGTACTTTTCCCAGGTCCATAGAATTGTAAATCAGATGTCTAAAAATAGCAAAAAATGATCTTTAATTGAAATGTATCAATCAAATTTCTCAGGTATATATACTGTGTGAATAGCTGCAGCTATTGGGCCATAGGTTACTAATGCTTGTTTTAAAGCTTCTTCATCTCCTTGTTGTATATTACCATAACTCGAAATGGCTCCTACTTTTGATTGTGTTAAACGACAAGTCTGTTGACGTCTAGCATAAGGATACGATGAATCTGACTGTAAACCCGAACGCTGTTGAATATAACTGAATGTTGCTCCCAAATAACCTCCATTGCATCCATTATTTGGTGAGCAGTCAACAAGTTGTTGTTTACTCATTCTGATACTCGACCCTTTTTTCAGTGAATATGTTCCTTCAATAGACGCCGTAACAGCAAAGGCATAACATGCACCACACTGACCCTGATTTTCAATCGGATTCATATACCTTCGATAATCCACTGATGCTTTTGATGTTCTTGACGGTTTCTTTTGACGTGGTTTAGTTTTTTTTGAAAAAAAAAATCCTCCTGACGATGATGAACTATGAGCATCACTACCACCACCACCACCACTGTTATAATTTGTATATTCATTATTGGTGTTTCCATGTACTTTTTTATTAACTTTTTTTTTAATTTTATCCTTAACACTATCGAATAAAAATCGTTTCGGACGTAAATGACGTTTTTCTCTGATGCCCGATCCTAATAAACCGGTTAATTTCGAACGAAATTCTGACAAGTCCATGTCACCATATTGATTCAAGCTTAGTTTGAAAGTTTTAACACCTTCGTCAAATCGAAAATTTTCACGTATAATTAATTTCAGATTATCGATAAATTTAGAAAAACGTTGTTTTTCTTCTTCAGCACTGTTATACACCTTATGATAAAATTCTTTATACATCTTCCAAACACGTTGAGCAAACTCATCGTCTTTCAAAGTATCCAATCGGTCTTGCAATTTTTTTGTCGCTTTATTTATGACGCGATTTAACATATCGTCAACGAGCTGTAATTAAACACATAAAGAAAGGTCTTTGTTAAACTTGCATAACTTCATATATTTTTTAACAATTTCATTTCAAAAAATATACTTCATATAATTAGTTCTCACTCAGCCATTCATCCATCTACTTACATCTTGTATGGATTGTCCATCTGTAAACAGTGCTTCATTACATGGTGTTAATGTACTCAAAATTAGACACACAATAAACAAAATTTTAATGAGATTTTTCATAATATTATTTGATCGTGATAGTACAAATTGGCATCATATGTTTTAAGATGTGCATGAATAAAATAAGATAATTATTATGCAAATAAAACAAAACTAAAATCTAGACTTTTTAGCCGTACATTCAGTTTTATCTCTGCACATCGTTTATACCTTTGTGTTTACATTAAAAATTGATTGACATCCTCGTAGAGATAGCGTGTGTGTATATATGTTCACGATAAAGAGAAAGAAAGCGATAATAAAGAAGTTAAGACTTAAAATAAGATTAGACTTTTTGTATTTTAATGAAATGAAACTACAACATGAAATATTTTGAACATGAATGTGGTAAAAAGTCTTTGATTATTGGATGCTTGCTTTGAAATCTGTATAACACAATACTAGTGTAATACAATGATTTACAATAGTTCGATGTTGAATAATAGGATTTAAGATTTTTATTTTTGTTATTTGAACAAGTAAAAATTTTTTTGCAGTTCTTGACTTGACGTGACTTGTGACTTGGAAAATCTGTGACTTGCCCAGCTCTGATTACGTTCTATTTAGAAGTTGCATATTCTTTTAAGTTGCTGGTTTTAGAATCATTGAATGAATTACGCATTTTTTTTGACTGGCTAATGCACCAATGCATATTATTGCTTTACTTTATTATTTATGTTCTACAATGCAGCGAAACTAAGCAAATCATACACTTCAACTAAAACTAGAAGCATATATTTATAAAAGAGTTTTATTACCATTTTTCTAGATATTTATTATTACTTATTGCTATGATGACAAACAAATATCTAGTAGAGCAATACTAAATACAGTGCCAGTCTATCATTACAGAGATTTTTCGATTGAAGACCTTGTCAAGTTTTCTTATTTCTATCGAACTTTCTAGAAGCTACAGTAAACTGAGAGAATGAATATGTTAGGAATTTCTAAAGAAGAGATTCCCGTTATGAGTATCATCTGATTCTAATGGTTTTGGAACTGAAAAAAGTTGATCAGTATATTCAAAAATGACTGGGTGAGTTAAAGACAAAAGTTGTTGAGTGCCTGAAAAGAAAATACGATCGTGCTACGTACAACTTAAATATGCAGTACGTAAGTTGTGTCTCTGTCGATTTAGTAGTTAAAGCCAACTGTTTTCTACTACGTACCGAAATGTTCGTATTCAAAAAGCTCAATATCGGATGACAATCAAATCATGATAGCTCATATGAAATTATATAATCGAAAATGTTTCTTTTAAAGTATCAGTGAAAATATTTTGTCATCAGAACAATAATATTTATAGGAAATGCTGTATTCCCTGTGAAATTTGCTTAATCTAACGAAAAACAACCTACAAAAAGCAAAGCTTTGTGCTAAAATTTGGAGTATAAACATCCGCTGTTTCTTGATATATAATCAACAAACATTACACATTTACACGCATACATCTATACATAAAACTATAAAAAAATAATAAAAGATTGTTTTCACAAAAAATCCAATGAACGTTAATTAATACCATAGTGATGACGAATAAACTATTAGACCTTACAGCAGTCTATTTGGAGTCGAAGTAGAATAGTCACCATCTTCGTCAACATTTGAGATAAATCCACTTTGATGACTTTGTTTCATTCGATAATCATTACCTTCAGGTGAAATACAGCTTGAACAATCAATATAACCAGGTAGACCTTGAGGTCCTGATAAGTACATATAAATAAAATAAAATAAAATAAAAATGAATGAGATTATTTTACGGATCAAGATCTCTTTTTACCTTCTTCACCTCGTGCACCTCGGGGGCCCGGTGGTCCACGAAAACGTAATTTCAAATAATCGAGGCGTTCTAAATTATGAATAGAGCACCAATTGATGTTAAGAGTTATACGTTTCATTCGTTATCGCATGAGCTGAGAGAAACTAGTCTGATCTCAGAAATTTTTCATATTCATATGATATACATTCTTTAGGACTACACAACTGACTTAATCGGAAATATCATTCAGCACGAAAATCGATTGATAACGTTCTTTTTTTTTCCTATGTGGTACATGCATAACAGTACATGTTTTTCTCGATCGTTGTAAATGGCTTACCTTCAAGCGCTTCATTTACAATTGATCGAATTTCTTCTATTAGTGTCGACTTATCCTGTAAACAACAAAAATTAGTGGAAATCACGGCACAAAAGTAGAGAGATTGTCCTATTGATTCTATCAGTTCGCGCAAGATCTTCTCAAAATAAAATGCTACAACGATCAGATTTAATTGAGTTTTTGTATGATTTTTTTATATATTTTTCAATATTAGAGATATATTTTCCTGTAATATTCTAGTTTCTAGTTGATGATGTATTAAGAGACTCGACGTAGCATAATATGATTAAATTATTCAATAAATAATACGAAGAAATCAATACTCACCACTAGGCCTGGAACACCATGCTCTCCTTTAGTGCCCTAAAAAGACTAATATTCATGTTTGAATTTATAGTTTACAAAAAAATCTTATATAAATTTAAATCTATCGTTTTGTTTACTGCAGATCAATACATGGCTATCTGTCAGATAAAATTATTTTTCCATTTATTGCTAGCAGATTGCCATGTAAATAGCAGCAGTATACTCTTGCACGTAAGATCAGCAGTAAAAAGGTAGTAACAAGTTTCTTGTTGAGTAAATATAGAAGTATACGTTACCTTTTGCCCGTCAACACCATTTTTGCCAGGTGAACCAATTTCTCCAGTCTCTCCCTGAGACAAAAAACGAAGTACTCTTGACGAAATATTGAGTTGTGAAAAGAAAAAGAAAATACCTTTGCTCCGGTGCGTCCGATTGGTCCCTTAAAAAAATATATTATAAAACAAGATTAATCTCCATAGGTAGTAACGTACTGTATTTCCAACTTGTCCTTGCTTCCCATTTTCACCTGGCTCACCTTTTTGTCTGCATTCCTTCTAAAATTGAGATCAGACAGAATATTTTAGCCATAGTTAGAGATATAAAATAGAACTTGAGGAATTTCAAATATTATCGATGCTTCATTTCGAATCAGATAATACATCTTAGACTTTCAGATAATAAGCACTAGGCTACGCATGAAGATAAAACGGTTATGGATCAATTATTACTTACTGATAATCTCAACTGTTCATTCGTTATCCAGTTTCTCTAAGAAATATCAATTGTATGGGTTAATAAGTTTTCTTTAATGAAATGAAAGCACATACTGTTTGTTCACGTTTTCGCTTTTCTTCCACTGATCCGACGAGTAATTTCTAAGAAAAATATATCTTCATAGTCAAAAGCATGATTTGTTTTCTATAGTAGTTTCTATAGTAGTCTATAGTAGCACTTATACAAAATATACTGATTTATCCAAATCGATTTAATCTTTATTACCTTTAACGAATGAAAAATGATTACAGTATATTAACATGATCTCGTTCTTTTTTCTAATCAGATTGACTTCAAATTACATGATTATATTGCTAGTTATATAAATTTAAATTTCGTGTGTTTGTTACACATTTGAATGTAAAAATAGAATGTAATATATACAGTGTGTACGAACCACTAACATACGGTGTTTTCTTTTTTTTTTGTTCCTTATAACTAAATGACAATACAAATAATAATAGCGACAAGCATTTTACTCATACTTGAAAGTAGAAAGATACATACACTCATACACGGGACCACTCAGTAGAAGGATGGATAGATTGATGGCCTTCTAATTTATATCGTCATTATATTATAATTTTCTTTTTTCGTTTTTTTTTTCTCATTTAATAGTAACGACGACTATCATCACCATCACACAAAAGAGTGAAGTACGGTGACAAAAAAATAAAAAGGAGAAAAAATTATCTCGAATGTGAATATTCTTGAGTACAGACACGAAACAAATTTTCGTTTTTTCTTTTCTTTCCTTTTTCAAATAGTAAAAATGTAACTTCTTATCAACATATATATTTATACATTTGATGTTACTCTTCAGCTCAACTCATGTTTACGCGAAGTTTTCGAACGAATATAAAATACACGTTAAGAAAAAAGAAAGAAAATGTTCTTAAAATAATGAAAAGTGACGACGCTTGTAACACACCGGTTGATATTTCTTCATACAGACGAGTGTAATTCAATGCAATCACATTCTTCTTTTTTTATTTTTTTTTTATTTATAAATGACCAAAAGTCAACATTGTAACTGCTATTTCGAAAGCGTGCTTACGCATTTCAATTAGTAAGAGCGATGAAAAAATTTGAAGTACATTTCTATACGAATATGACTATTGTACAAGATTTATAAGTGAAAAAAATGTGATATTTTAAACTATTGTCATTTGCCAGTTGAGTGGCGACAACCTTTTTGGCTAATTTTCAACACTTACAACTGCAATATATGCTTACCATAAACAAACAAACTAACAAAAATGTGTTTAAGGTCGTACGATGACATTAGCTAGTGTATAACAATAAAAGGTTCTTGAAGTTACGTTTTGTTTTTATTTGTGATTATTAGAGTTCCGAGACAATTTTCTATGCAAAAAGAGAAATTTTGATTATTTGTTGCTAAAATGGGCGTTGCAAACTGCGTCTAAAGTCGAACGAACTTACCTCAGCTGTTCTCTAATTAATTTTCAATAACCGTTTCTACAATAAGAAATTATTTCATCTTTTTTTTCAACATCTTGTGTATAGATTGATATACAATATTTACTACTTTAATCGAAAAAGATGTAAAATGATTCGCGTGAGTGCAACCAGTCATTGTTAAAGAGCTGATATCGATTACCAAGAGAAATTACAAATGATAATGATGTAACATTGAAAATGTACATGTGTATTAGATAAGAAGGACCTTGTCTCTTTTCTATCTATTTAGGATGTTCTCCCGTCTTCATAACTGCGTCTCATCGCCTCTACTCTTCTCTTTTCTCGTTTCTTTTTTCTTCTTCTTTAGTGTTATTCTAGAGTATAAATAAATATTGTATAGAAGGTTGTACATACTTATTTTGACGACATTTTCATTTCTATTATCAACAGGCTGTATGGTCCTTTAGAACACCAACAGCTGACTGTTTTCTCAATATAAAAAAAAGAACTGTAGTTCTCTGTTTGTTGTAAGATTTTTCACATATTACGATAAACGTTACTCTGACAACAGAAAAAAATCTATGGTGTCTAATTCGACAATTGTATTTTTCTTATACAATAAAATGTTTTACTTTTTGGAATTTTTAATCTATAAAACAGATTTTATGATTGCATACCTGTTTGTCTCTATATTTGTCGTTGAAATATAGTGGAATCTAAAAAATATTAAATTCTTACATACTCTCTTTCAGTTTTTCAGTTACTTGACTAACTCGATTTTCTTGATTATATTGAACATTCTAAAAGAGATAGTATATAAAATATCAGTATAAATAAACATTTATAAAATTTTACATTATCACATCTGGCGATATCACTTGGTTTTGGATCACATTGAATTGATAAGTTTTGCAGAGTGACCTTTTTTTTTATTAAAAATATTCTACTGTATTAGAATAAGGAGAAAACCGATAAGAAACGTACAGGTACGATGGTCTTGCGTAGTGGTAATATTTCTGAACAGAGAAAGATTTTTCCATTATTTGTTTGTGGAACGTATCTATTAGTCCATTGCCACTCGCTTATAAGGTCACAATTCAAATAAAATTTTATTTGTTCTTTTGTGATAGATAACATTAGTTTATGCCATTGAGTATTGAATATCTAAAATAATTTTTATTATCTCATGTTCTGAAGTGAACAATCACATCATTCGTCAAAACATTACATACTTGAGGAATTTGAACAGTATATCTTTGATCACTATAGAAGATAATATTAATCGTTTGTCTATTTCCATAAAACTGTAATGAAAATTGAATGTTAGAATTTTCATCTTCAAATTGAATTAATGTCCAATTTAATAATAGCGTCTCATATTTCATTGAAAATACAACTGTTAAACAAAATTCTATTGGAAGTCCATTCGGAAAATTTAATCTAAAATGTGATGTAAATTAATAAAAATAACAATAGTTTTATATTTTTTATAAGTGTACATACAATGTTGTTTGTGAAAAATAGCCAATACTTGAATAGATAAGTTCAAATGCTTGAGAATTTGATGTAGAACCTGTTGTTTCAATAACAGCAGCAATGATTTTTTTATCGAAATGAAATACGGAACTTAGAATATCTAATTGTCGGTCTAAAATGTATTTGATTCTATTTTCAAAGATTATCCATATCATATGTATATGCATACATACTTTGAGAAAATTTATTTGATTTTTCTGAACATGATAATAATGATGCATAAGATGACGCAATAATCTATTAAAAAACGATATTAATCTTGCAGACGATGTATTCCCATTATATATATTTCCTAGACATTATTATTCTTACCCAAAGTGAACAAATTGAGATCGATAAATAATACGGCATTACTAAGATTTAAAAAAAGAAATATCGTCAAGACTTTTGGTAATTCTAATTTTGATTATAATCTAACGAATTTGTAAGCTATATAAATTTATGAAATTTTTTACAGATTTGAAGTTGTGTATTAAAATGGATGAACCGAATATAATAATTTGTTGTTTGTATGATCAAAATAAAATAAACATAATACTGATCTGTGTGTCACATAATCGAGTCTGTAATATCACTTGAAATATGTGGATATCATTAGAAGAAGTGGTTCATTTTTTTCTTTTTGTATATCAATATCGGTCACAGTATTTCTTTTTGCCTGAGCACAATACAATATGCATATATTATACAGTCTCTATTATGTCGTGTAAAAGAAGAAAACCGTTATGTAAGATAGTTCCTATTTAATGCAATTAATCATCAATAATGAGTGTAATCGACAACAGAAAGTGTAAAAGAGAGTATGAACATAGTTCATCCTCCTTAAGCTCAAGATTGTATATCATTTACCATTTTTGACTGACGCTGCCCTTTACTATGCACGCTTCAGAATCAGTATTAAAGTAGACTGTTTTATTCATAAGAAGAAGAAATTCCTCATTAGGATAATGAGTTTCAATTTCATTTTTTATAAAAGTCACTAGATCTGTAAGTTCATCATGGTGGACAATGTTCATGGTGGACAATGTTTAGTTTACAGAGGAGCCAATGTTTGCTTCTAATGTCATATCTGAATCTATTTTTATCGAATAATTGTAAAAGAACGACCATGAGACTTTTCCAATCAATTTTTTCTTTGATATTGTTAATATTGTTTCATCATATCATCATATGATATATATCGGGTGGCCCAGATAAGATGCGACACTTTTGTTCGTTGTTTTTAAGGCATTGCCCACTAGTTCAAAGAGTTCATTCTAAGCTTAATCGATAGAGAATTGAATTCTGTACAAAACCAGCTATTTCAATCTCTGATAATATTTTTCTCGTTTGAGTACCATTCAAAATATTGAATAGTGCTGAGCTGTTGAACCGCGATACACTGAAAATAGCAAAATAGAAAATATTGCGTTCATCCAAAAGCAGATTTCATAAAACTTTTGAAAGCAGCAGAAGATTCACCGGAGAATCCTGCATCTTCTCACATATTTTTCGAAGTTTTGCAGCTAAGTCTTCTAGGAAAATGTCTCTGTGCAAAAAACTGATAAATCTAAAAAACCTAACTTTTGAACTTATATTTCACAGACTTCAGCTTTTGGCTACAAAAGTAGTAAAACGTTCTGAATTCAGGATTTTAGTTTTATTACCTAACACAGAATTAAATTCTGCATCTCTTGATATATAAACAAAGTTTCTCAATGAAAACCATTAATTAAGAAAGTTAATTAAATTTGAAAAAATTGACAAGCGGTTGAGAACTAATTATGAGTCCAGTTGACGTAGTGAAAACATGGTATGAAGTTGTGAATGCGTGAGATCGATAGAGCACAAAAGTCTCTATCGTTCTACGCAGAAAGATTAACTATTGAACCTCAGACAATGCGCGGAGACGACAAAAGCACGTCATAATTCGACAACTCAGCACCACTCAATATTTCTAATGGTGCGCAAACGAGAAAAATACTATCAGAGATTGAAATACCAGGTTTTGTACAGAATTCAATTCTCTATCGATTAAGCTTAGAACGAACTCTTTGAACTAGTGGGCAGTGCCTTAAAAACAACGAACAAAAGTGTCCCATTTTATCTGGGCCATCCGATATATTCTAGTTTTAAGCAAGGCAAGAAGAACATTCATAAACACGAAGATTAAAACAAAAATAGCAAGTGTATAGGTGGAGCCCTTTCAGTTGGATGCGTGTCTATAACCCGCAGAAAATTGGAACTGTTGCGTTGGAGAGTAAGGTAGGCCACATGGGTTAACATCTTCTTAGAGAGGGCTAGAGAGAACAGATTAGACAAACTCAGGGTCAGATGTCCAAAACTTTTAACTTTTCGGATGTCAAACGTTCTCAATCAAATTCTTCAAACTTCTACAGTTATAGAGTGTTATAAAAGAAGTTCTACTTCTAATATTTTCAAAATCGTGTCCTTATTTAGAAGCTTGAAGAATTTGGTTGAGAACATTTGGCATCTGAAAGGTTAAAAGTTTTGGACATATGACACTGAATTTGCCTAATCTGTTTTTCACAATTTTCACATATGTAATAGAGCTAAGGGCTGGAGACAATTTTGCCATTTACTATCAAAACTGGCTTCCGAAAGACGATAGCAGTCGATTTCTAACTATTCCATATGATTTATACGATCTGACCATAATTATCTCAAATCACATACACAGAAACAAATGAATATTTCTTTTAGTTTTCGTAATCTCTAGTTAATTAATTAATTAATTAGAAATCGGGCTAACTGCCAATTCGTATGAGAAATAGTATAAAAAGTTCTCTACAACATGGTATAATATTTAATTGGTTTACTCAACTTTTCCAGTTGCAACTAAGTGTTTTAAGTTTATTCCAGTCACTTCAGGCTGTACTGATAATAATCATCCCTAGCAGTCGCATTTTTTTTAGAGTGTGTAATAGAGAATTACTTAACTAGTAGTATCGTGGTTATCTCATGCGATTCCATATTTCACAAAATTTCTCTAGTCCCCTCTGAAAAGATATTAACCCATGTGGCCTACCTTACTCTCCAATGCGACGGTTACAGTCTGTGGGTTGTAGACACGCATCCAACTGAAAGAGCTCCACGTACACACTTGCTACCCATGTACTAGCTTTCTGGTCATATTGAATGACCCTTAATTAAGCAAATAATTAGTATTAAATATGCTAATAATGAGGATTCAGATATGCAATCATATAATAGTAATTCGTTTTACTCAACAATTTCTCTATAGAACATCTTGTTAGATTAATATGCTGTCTTTCTTGAAAATATTTTGAAGTTATCACGAATTTGAATATGATTATCAACTTGTTACAACAGACATGCAGTTTAATTCGTGTGACTTTCATTTATAATTCTTGGAATGGAAATTATTCTGATGTTTTTGTACGGTAGTACGTCCCTAGAAACGATGTCTCTCTACTCACTGTTCACAAATGTTATAGTGTGTTTGTCTTTTTGACGCGAATAAAGTAGTTAATGTGATCAAATATGATTGTTTACAGTGGGTCGAAAAATTATTCGTCCACCCTACATTATCATTTTGTAAACCACAATGCTAGAGACTCGGGCTTTTCATCATCGTGTAGTGCACCATATCTAGTCCATATGTAGATATTACCGGCATTCAATTCCGTTTTGTTTTGGTTTCAAAAGAAAAATACTAAAAATGATTTTGACTTATTCTATCGCTTACCTTTAACAGAATACATATGAGTGAAAAAAGTCAACATTGTTATGAGAAAAAGTTGCTATATGAAAGGATACCATTCGCCCTGTTCCTCCAGGATGTTGAGATAATAGAAAATTAATCGTGACGATCTAGAAGCTTAGAAATATATGCTTTGGACGGCATTTGAATACATCTAAGCTTATTATAGATCGAAAATAGTCGAAACACCTGCGACCTTTTCCCAGTCCTTCTTAAAAATCACTAACTCGGAATACTGCGGAGCTTCCAGTTAAGCTCAATTTTACAAATGGGCGGACAGGTTTGACTGGAATCTTTTATTTGGTGCCTATTTCGCGTTAACGACTTGTTAGCCAAGCTCTTGTTCTAGTCCTTATAACCTGACAGAAACGAACTTTTCTTTTGTCTCTTCGATGTTTTCTAGTACAAGTTGATGTGCTCGATCCGTTAATGAGGTTATTTCAAAATTTCCGCACGCATTAGTGTTCCGAGTTAGTGTTTTTTAAGAAAGAGTGGGAAAAAGGTCGCAGGTGTATCGGCTATTTTCGATCTATAATAAGCTTAGATGTATTCAAATGCCGTCCAAAGCATATATTTCTAAGCTTCTAGATCGTCACGATTAATTTCTTGCCGAGAATCGACTAAGTATTTTGAGAAAAAAATTTCTATCATCTCAACATCCTGGACGAACAGGGCGAATAGTATGGCACAAATTACTATACGCAACGATCATTCAATATTCCATGTAATCATATTTTAGATTATCAAAGTGTTCATTGCAGCCAAATATTACTATGGGTAATATTAACACAAGAAAACAACAACAAATACAAGGTGATATCAAGCAGTTCGACCGGGATATAAGTGAAACGTTTTTAATTTGTGAATCGAATATCTAACTATTACTGCATTCTTTGGGTACTTTTTTATCGAATTAATATTAAATACTATTTATTCTTCAAATACTCAAAAAGTTTGTGAAAAAGGAAAGACAGCTTTAGACAGAGTCTAGATTGCAAGATCTTCTTAACAGTCGAAGACTCTCAAATGTCTATCTATAGAAGAACTGAGCTTAACTTCACCGTTTATTCCAGGAAGCTCACTCCGACCATACTTTAATCCTTTCATGAATAGTTTCTATATTCGTTATAACATTATACTTAAATGTTTTATTTATTTTCACTTGTTTCTTATTTGGTGGAAAATAGTTTACAAAACAAAAAGCAACGAAACAATATTTATTCTTGTTTTTTTTTTGTTTAAGAATTGTGAAAATGCATAATTAATCAAATAAACCAAAACCTAAAATGGAAAGAAGAAATAAATGAATGTGCAGCAGACCTGAAGGTTGAAATAATACTTTGCTTACCCATATCACCTTCATCTTCTGATTCCTCTTTCTTCTCTTCTTTGGCTGCTTTTTTCTCTTCTTTAGCTGGTGCATCTAAATGTGAAGATCAAGTAATAAATATAAAAGAAAAAACTACTTGTACAATCGCATTACCTTTTGCTGCACTCGCCGTTGGTGCGGCTGCTGTTGGTGCGGCACCTCCAGCTGATGGTGAGCCAACATTCTTGATTAAATCTTGAATTTTCAAACCTTCGAGAGCATTGGCAAATAAACCCGGCCAATATGGTTCGATTTCATAATTTGCTGCTTTCAATAGTGTTGATATTTTATCGCCCGTTATAGCAACATTATCATCAGCTAATATAAGTGCTGAATAAACACATGCTAATTCATCATTACTTAACGCCATTTGAATGATCGTTGTTTTTATATTTTAATATCGAACAACGGAAACAGAGAGCTAGACCTAAAAAAGAGACAACAGTGGGTTAAAAAACAATTAATACAATAAATGTTTAATAAACAGATCAAAGAATAATGTCTCGAGACAATTTTACTCTTGTTTTAGAGGAATATAAAAGAATTCCTTTAAAAACAAAAACAAACTGATATTACAATTGACTATTGTATAAAAAAAAACAAAAAAAAACAAGCGGATATCCATAAGAAAAATGTATTATACGGAAACACTATTGATTCGAACCACTACAAAGAAAAGAATTTACATGGTTCATTAAAAAAATGACAGGCATGCCTCCCTCTGCAATCAATTCGTGAGTGTGAGTTGTCGACAAAACAGAGTTGGACGATATATCGGAAGATGATTGTCTTATTGAAATGACAGTGGTATATTAGAAGTGGCAACATTCATTGAAGATATTCCATTAGACATCAGCAATGATGAAGGAGTTCTGTTATATGCTAATTGCAATTCATTATCTTGACGAATAGCATTTAAATGGTCAACGAGTTTTTTACGTAATGTTAATAATGTTGGAAAACGCTGTGAAACAGCATCCTAGAAAAGCAATTCATCGATTTTAGTTGATTAGGATATGTTCTACTTAGGGCAATCCAAAAGTAGTGAGGGAGGTACTTTATTTTCTTAAGGAGCGCTTCAAAAACATTTCTCTTTTAATGAACAGATAGAGCGTCTTTCGCTCTATTTTTCTATGCTATTTGATCAAT